AGGCTCTCGTTTGGTTGGACGTTAGTTAACAACTTTTAAGTGATTTTAAAGGATTTGTTTTAGTTTTTAGGGTTCATATTATTAAAGGAAAACCAAACCCATATAAAATAACTTCATTGTCAGTGTTTCTGACCTGAAACCTGGAGGTAAAAATTAAAAATTAAATTCTTCATTTACACACAAGTTATCGCGGAAAACTCAGGGCGCGAGTTAAACTTGCACTTGTTGGTTAGTAGTGGATTTTATGGATGAAAAAATGTTTTTTTTTGTTATACATACACAAGTTAAACAACATAGACATCTCAGATACCGACTGCTCCCTTACATGGTCCTGCACTTCAAGAAATCCTACATACATTTTTTGAACATTTTGAGGCTTCTGAAATCGTGTAACATATGGAATCGTACATAGCCTTAAAAGATATTCAAATTGTACCAATCAACCTATAGTTAAGAAATAAATAGCTATGGCGACGTGCCACAGCGCGCGTAAGCGGATAGTGCTTCTTTGGTTCACTATCACTTTCTTTGTTAGTGAGTTACGTTTTTTGTAAAGTACCTTAGACCCAACCTTGACAAGTACGCCTTTTTTAGATATAATATGGATTTGAATTACGGGAAGAAAGAATACCTGTCACAACACAGCTTGATAGAAAGCTAGATGTCACCATAGAAATTGTAATAATAAGACACTAGAAGTCGCACAGACGCATGACTTGGTGGCCGCAATGATGTGTACACGAACACCACTTTTAGAAATTCACACCATTCGTGATTTAGTTGCGCGGAGCGTCGTATGAGAATATTATTAAAATGGTGAACTGCAGAATAATGGGTTGTGAAAACGCATCGGGGACGTGTAATACAACTAATAAAGACACAACATTTCATCGAAGTTAATTTTTTACGAATAAACCATTGTTTATGCTAATTTACATCTCGATGAATACTTTAATAAGATATCTGCCTTTTTAGACATTCATTTATTACTTTCCGTTTTGTACAAATACCATTGCTGCTTTTGTTCTTATTGCACGGGATATTGATAAACCAGCTAAGCAATGTAATGTGAAAAATTAGTTATCGTTATGGATTGCGTATGTTTGTAATACGGCTGCAGGCATCGGTCGCCAGTTAGAGAATGAAAGTTAAGTTTATATCGATGTTAGTATAAAAGGATATTTTTCAGATTTTCGAACGTGAAAAAACTAAACGATATATGCAGGTAAAATATTCTTAATATTAATAATACAATTATTTATAAGGAATTTAATTATTTGTTTAAAGTCTTGCATATTAAAGTTTTTACTAGACTTGCAACGAATATTCGGTTACTATTCGGTATTCGGCATATTCGGCTGCTTTTATTATATTCGGCCGAATACCGAATATCTACATATTATTCGGCCGAATACCGAATACTTAAATAATATATTTTGTCATTGAGAAATAATTGGTAAAATGAAAAATTAAAATCGATTGATTACGTATACATATATTCATATTTTCATTTCTGTTATAATCATTTAAGTAGTCATTGGTGCATAACACAGGTACATAATCATCTTCTGAATTGGAAAAATGGAGGATTCTATGTATTTGATTTATTGTGGTAATCAAAATTTAGAAGGGTAAGGTTCTCATTTCTTTTATAATCATTTATTAAGTAGTCATTGGTACATAAAACAGGTACATAATTTAATTCACGTCTGTACAAGTTTTTGGCGCTAAAATCCAGCCGAATACTTTTGCCTAATATTCGGCTATTCGGTCAGGGGCCTCGCCGAATATTCGGTATTCGGTATACTGCCGAATATACTATTCGTTGCAAGTCTAGTTTTTACATGTTTAGCATGCTGATAAATGTAAATAAAATGTTATCTTTTTAGGAAGCATAAATAATTATATTGTTATTCGTTATCACAATTATAATTAATTTCTAGATTCCTGAAAAATGCTAATTTTAAAGAACTTTATTCAAATAAATTTCTTCATTTTATGGGTCAATAAACTCATTTCGTAGAGTTGCTGATAATATCAACTGTAAGAGATACTTGCTTATTTTATTAATAATATTTTCAAAGATTGTGTGAAAAAAAAGGAAACTACTCTGTTTATTACTTACTTCTTAATAAGTTATTTCTAGATTAATACAAATCTAATGGTTACATGACCCAACTATTTGTTCAGTAGTAGCTTATTTTATAATTTTTTTGTTTTTGTGAGGTTTGTGTATTTTGAATATTTTTTTAACCATAAGATTTTTTTCAATTTTTGTTTGTTTTATAAGTATACGCACCTGAATTAATAAAGTATTTTAACTGTTAATGGATTGCTTGATTTTAAATAATATGTATATACCATTAATTTATAAGAATTATTACTGTTAAAATATTAACTAAAACAGAATATATCTTTGGTTTTCATTGCTACTTGTAATCCATTTTATTTTAATGTATTTAAAAAAATATCGAAACCTTCGAAAATTTTTGTCAATGCCTAGCATTGTTTACAGGGGTTCACATACATCGAAAGAGCATGTACTCGTAGTGGTGCCACATAATACATATGAGTAAAATGCACTGTAATTCCTGGAGATTAAGGTTCATAATAGTTTTGCCCGTTGTGCATTTCACGGTTGTTTTGCAAACGTGTGTGAGTCTTATATCTATTTGTTTGTACTATGTGTATGTGTTAGGATGTGGCAACATCGGTTTTGGAAATAATCGGGCGCTAATTCATTTCTAGTGTCTTATTATTACGATTTCTGTGGATGTCACTGACATGTAGAGTGAGGTGGTATTATTGAATCCGAAGTTGTTATCAAATGTACATAATTAATAACAATTAATACTTTGAATTCAGTTAGTTGTAGTATGTAAAGAGAACAAGTTACATTAATAAGAAAGACAATTATAAACTAACATAACAACTTCTGTCGGGATCTGCTGATAATAATTTTATTTTATTTTTGTTTAAAATGTGTAAAATATTAGTTGTTAAATTATTTTAAATTTAATTCAACCCTTTTAAATATAAAACATCTATAGCTACAAGCTGGGTTCTTAGCCGAACATCAAAGATATATTATGCCTGTCTAAATAGGTACCTACATTAAAAATTAACAATTATCCCTTTTCATTTGAATTTGAAAGGAGTTTTTAGTAAGAAATGAAAAGAAATTGTTGTCTTCGTATACATCTGTTCAATTTATTTACTCATGTGATAGTAGCGTGAATCATGACTTACGCGTATGTATGCGAGTACACATGTTGTGTTACACTCGTGGCAACCGGTGTGATTTGCGGCAATGCGATAGCCTATACCGGATCATTGATAACACAGGGATTTTTCTTCCATGTAGTGCTCCCATAATTATTTACCAAGGCTAACACTGATTACTCACTTTGAGATTCTATCAACTTAAATCATTATAGGAATGCTGAGACAAACATAGTATGTTAGATATATAAATTATTTCAAAAATTATTGTAAGACCTTTTTTAATTAGTAATATATTGGAATATAAATTTTAGTAAATAATAATCCACAGATCCAAAGCACAAGAATCTGAAATTAACACATTACATACTGAAATACTGCCACAATCATGGCTTGAGCTTTTAACAGGAATGCTACAAACATAAGAACTTAATTCTTTGCTAAATGGACAATAGTAGGTTAGGGTGTATGTACAAGACAATACAGCTTCAGGACTGTGTGGTGTCATTTATTACTATGGCAACAGTAATAAATGGCACCCTTAATTTTCATTTTTTTCTGATATCAATAACTTTCTAACAAACATTATTTTTGCAATATTCTTATTAATAAATGACATTAAGATACATTTGACACAAAGAGATTGTTTTATTATAAAAAAAACTTGTTAACTGCCTGGATTTATTCAGATAATATTGTTAATTAGTTAATTTAGTTTCTGTTTCACAGAAATAGAAAAATGCAATTCAATTGTTGCTTAAAAGCTAATTCTATTTTATACGGTTTTGGCATGTTACTTACTCAAGTTCAATAATGATTACTTCAATCTGTACTGCTGTATGACCCTGTTAATGCAGCAATACAGATTTGGATGAAATATGGCACACAGGTCGATTTATAGATGAATGGACTTAATTTAAATAGAATAAAATCCTAACAGGCGGCACAAGTAAAAGTCAATATCCAATAATGACACTTGTAGATTACGCAATACATGACATATACTAATAATATTTATTAACGTCAAATTCAGTACAAATTTTCTAATATAACAGTATTTTCTTAGGTTAATTACACAGTATAGTCAGGCTCTGGCACCCACAGTAACATTTAACTTGTGTTGTGGGTACCAGTCCCTCTCTCATTTAAAACTAACATTCATTATGTATTTTCTATATTTATAAACATTTTTCAGATATTCTTGCGTTTGAGTGTGCATGCATGTGTGAATGAGTTGTAAGTGTGTGGTATGTATCACTGTGTGTGTGTGTGTGTGTGTGTGTGTGTGTGTGTGTAAAAGTCATAGAGATGTTGACTCATTTGACATCATTATTCATAATTACACACACACATTACACACTGTTATCTGGGCACAAAGTTTGGGCCATCCAAAATTGCTCAATAAATATAAATATCTAATTAAATCATTGTTGGTAAATACTACAATTACTTTATAATAGTATTATAGTACACTGTAACTTAGTTATTAGTTAATTACAAAGAAAGTATTACTGCAAGATGTGTTTATTTAGTGGTCACCAATGCTTACTGCTGGTCATGGGTTTAACTACCAGCCATAACAAATGATTATATGATAAGTTTTATCATTTATCTATGGCTGAGTGTAATTTATCAATAAATGTGTATTCAATAATATTTAAGTATATTTATCAGCAGTATGGCTTTTGATAAATATGATTTTGAAGGCTTTGCCTGGATCAGATGGCCCTGAGTGAAGTGGCTCAAGTTATTGTAATAGTATTACTAATAATTAATACCTTATAGTTTCTACTATCTCCAAGGCCCCGTCGTGTTTGTCCTGAAACAAATAAATCTATTTTATACTGATAGCTCTTAATGTAGTGTTCATTGCCAGACTTGGCAATTTAAAAACATACTATAAAAAAAAATTAAAACATTTCAGCTTGGAGTAATTTATCTTATTATTTATCACATTTGGATAACAATTAAGTTTTCACTTTAATAAAAAACTATGGAAACAGCCAATTGAATGCATGAAAACTATAAAACTAAAAAAGGGGTACAAGTAATATTGGTTTATTTACATTCATTTAATTTTATTGCCATTCATTTAGCCATTCTCCACATAGCAACAATATATATAATAACAAAAACAATTTATATAACTAAGTCAACACACACAAAAAATGATAACAACAATGATTAATTGGTCTAATTTCTTATCATCAATAAAAAAAATCGGATAGCAAAAAATTATTGTCAAGTATTACAATATTATATTAGAATGAGAAATTGCTATGGTTTTTATTTTATTTATTTTTGGAATAAATATTGAATAAACAAATTTTTATATACACAACACATACTATTTTTTACTATTATTATAATTCTAAAATAGTATTAATTGCAATTCTTATACTACAAAGCATTAATTGCTGAATAATGTTTTTCACCCAACATTCATTTATAAACAGATAACTCGAGAGGTTTATATATGTCATTAATATAATTTGTGTAGCAACAAATCTTCAAACTTAAACAGAAACTTAGATGAGTCGCGTAAAGAGTAAATAAATGTCGATTGATACCTACGCCAGTGTGTACATATCTAAAAAAAGCCGACACCTTGACAAAACACGAGGTCAATACACTCTACAGTAATACCCATGTGACGTGAAGAAGAGCTTACCTATGATTAGATCCTCGATATGTACCACATTATTGTTTCTAAAACTATATCTATTCTCATAACCCTTTAGATATGCTATCATACATAGTGAAATTCAAACTCAACAATTCAACCAAACACGAGCATGTACTTGGTGTGAATATTCACTTGTTGTACAATAGCACTATTAAGCCAAACTATTTAGTTACATCACCAATAAACATACTCAAATATAGGTAGAGTTAATGCTAAATATAATAAACGTCCTGTTGGAGCTGCAATACCTTAATGCACAATATTAAAAAATACGTTTTCCTTACCGAGCCATGACCCGAAGTGAGGGGCCATGTATAAACAACAGGTTCCGCGCCTGCAGGAGAATGCAGGCGTAAATCCAAAGCCATGATAAGAAAACCACTGCATTAAAGCACACACTTTTCACTTAATCACTAAAATAATCACTAAAAAATCTAGTTAATAACATAATTTCACTGCACTTTCACACACACACACTCTGAACAACCGGGCGCCATGTTGAAATTATTTCTAAATTCCAATCATGGCCGCCGTTCAGTGTTGTTGTTGAAATATATTTTTTTTCATTACTTCAAGATAAAAAAGAAAATACATCTAGTTACATATTATATAGAACAAGTAATTTAAAATTAAGGTACTATTATTCCGAATTTTAAGAATACCATTATACCACCAATAATACCTTTATAATCATTTTATAAAATTTTGCTGGACGTCCTTGATGTTTATATTTTTGCAATTTATATTACAGTTTTGCAATATCTGCCTGTCTGCCTAGATGTTCATGAGCGGCTTAGCTTCAAGAAGTAATTTTGTAAGAATATTTACCGAACAGGCGCCGTAAAATTTTAGAATATAAAGTATAGATAAAAAAGATAAGAAAATAGAAATTAAAACAAAGAAATATCAAAAACCAGAATATTACAAATTGTAATTGTTAGGGTTGTACTATCGAATCTCATATTATTGATACCATCGAAAGTTTTGTTATTAATACTTGAATAATCGACCTGAAGTGGTAGCATTGCCTAATAATATCGTTAATATTCTCAATATAGCCATAAATATCATATACAAGCCAGAATAGATTAAATTTCTAGAGCATTTCGAGTCGGTCGAGTCAAATTATATTCTAAGTAGCGGCTGATGAGTTGCGATAGTTTTTTTTTAACTTTTAATATTAATTTATTTTCTGAATAAGTATAAATCATGACAAATTATAATAAGCTGTATTCAAACTTTATTCCGTTTAATCAAGCCAAGCATTTAGAAGTGAAATACTTTCTTTAAATGGGACAATAAAGTATTGTAGATCAAATCCAAGAAGTACCGTTTGACAGTTCTAACAGTAAAAGAATAGGGATGGGGTCCAAGAAATCGCTTACTACAATTTCCGATTGTTAAGAGATTTAAAATTCATATCTTTGCATTAACTAACCGATTACAGTTTTACAGTTATAAACAACTTACTTTACAAGCCCATATATTGGCACATTATTGAAACTAGATGGTGGTGTGTGTCAGATGACCGAAAATATTATTATCTTAGGTTTTGCCAATTAAATTATTAGTTTTAATTTCTTTTGCAATTGAGTAATTGTGCCTACAAAGATTTATTAATATAACATTAACTTACACAATAATAAGGCTATCTATTGGATATATTAATTATTTTGCTTCGTTCAAATGATTTAAATTAAGTCATTTAGAAATTTTCATCTTGTAATAAAAAATTGGTTCAGAATTCCATGGTTTTACGGCAATAGTCATTGAAATTTTGTCAGTTACACCTACACAAATTTGTATCGGCTTGAAAAGTACGAAATTTCAAACGGTACTTCTTAGATTTGACGGACTAAACCGATCTTAAAAGAGATAATACCACCTATACTAAGAATTACTAGTGAAACCTAAGATATAATAATATAACGGATGAGAGAAGCTTGAACGTAGCCAAAATGCGATTTCTGAGATGGATGTACGCTGTGACTAGGACGGACAAGGTCAGGAATGAGTATTTACGAGGGAGTCTAAAAGAAGCGAAACTGGATGAAAAGTTAAGAAGTTATAGGTTATCTTGGTGTGGACATGTCATGCGGTGGGATGAGGAAAATATGTCGAAGAAAGTAAAACATACTGGAGTTAAATCGTACAAGAAAAGAGGAAGACCAAAGAAAAGGTGGGTGGACTGTTTAAGTGAGGTTATGGCTAGAAAGTGACTGCACGGATTTCGTAGTGGTTTAAGCGGTCACCGCGCCGCTTCCTACGAGTGTTGTGAGTTCGATCCTACATGGGACGACACTTCGTGTGATCCACAAATTGTTGTTCTGAGACTGGGTGTGCTTTGTGTCCGTTTCATGTATGTTTGTAAAGTCCCCAGAGATACAGGATTTATTTCTTGTGCGGGAGTTGTCTTTTAAAAGAAAAGGAAAGAAAAAAGAAAGGGAGCAAACGGTGAGATGGTGAATGAAAGAGTAAAATGGAAGAATCATACTTATACAAATAATATTGGAATACGTGTCGGCAAATGGTGATAATGACATAAATCTGTAAAACTGTAATAGGTTAGTAAATACAAAGAAATGATATCGATTTCTCTTAAGAATCGGATGTTTAGATTTGATTGACAATAGTGTAGATTAGGGAAACCCAAAGTGGTCCATTACCCCTTGGGGTCTAAATCAGTTTACCAGGGTTCGACGAGGTTTAAAAATCGCCCGAATTAAAATATTAATTAACAGAAATTCTTATTTGAAAGTTTGAAGATACTTTATAAGTTGTGTTACGTATACCAGTTTGTTATAAGAATGACTAATATTTTAGTAGGAAGGTATCATGTACTTTCGTACCTGTTGTAATGTTGTATTTATAATAACAACTAGTCAATAAGCGTGCATAAGTTAGTATACGAGGAAATACTCGGCAAGTCAATAAGTATGGACAAGTTCGTGCAAGGCAATGAGTTCGAGCGTTCAAGTCTTTCAGGCACGTTTTGACTTGCTCTGTATCTGACACATATACGCGATTTAACACGAATGAAATCATGACAAAGTTTATGTCCAAACATAAGGCTTCCCACTCACCAGTATTAACCCAGATTTAGCTAGATTAGTAGAGTCACCGGATTCATCCATCACATTGATTTTTTAATGCGATTGCGATTTTATTGTTTTTTTTTTCAAAATATAATTACATACTTAAGTGTTTTTACCTGATTTGTTTTAATAAGTATTAACTCTTGATATTTACAGAATTTGATGTCTATTTACTTTGTTAAATATTAATGAGACAATGATGTCAAATTTACTCACTCAACCAATGGTAAAGTTTTAAAATTGGTAAGCATTTTCTATCAATAGGAAAAAACTAGAGAAAAGATTTTTTAATTAATTTGGCTATGGGGTATCAGTTCATTTTGGAAAAAGGGTCTCTTGCCCAAAATAGTTTGAGAATCCCTGGTGTAGATCTTGTGACATTAGTAAACTGTGATGTACATCAACACCTTACTAGAGATAAGCAGAATCGAGGTAAATTGAGTTTAGCGAAATTCGAGTTGACCATTACTAACTAATACTAAATTTCACCATTCATCACATACAAAACTACATAAAACCACAAGTAACAAAACTTATATCCACCAATATTATAGAGTTGTCAATGTTGTCATTTATACTGTTCTCATCACTACGCAGGGGCACCTCAGTACCAGCTTCTCCCTCTGGACCGCATCCAACGAAGAGCGACTCGAATCGTCGATAGCCCAAAACATCTTCGATCGATCCCTTGGGGTTACGTAGAGATGTAGCTTCACTCTGCATTCTCATCATGGAGAGTGCTCCGAGGAATTGTTCGGACTAGTAGTCCAGTCAATGAAAGCTTTACTTTGCCATTTTGAGTTGATGACCTGCAACCAACGCGAAAATGTCCGTAAGGTTCGAAGGTTCAAAAAAAGGTATCAACGTATTTTCGCGTATCTCCCATAGTTTTTGCACAAAATACATTTAAAGGTGCAAAAAATTTTCGTTTTTTTTTTATATATTGTTAATAAAAAAAAATTCATTTTAAAACGATCCTACATGCTTCATTGGGATTTAATTAATGTTTCGGGCATTTTTTTATTTTTTTATTCCTTTTTACATATAATATAATCTTGACAAAAAAAAATTTCAATTTTATTATATGATAATTTAATTTTGCCTTTTTTTATTTTATCGGATTCAGCGCAAAATTTGAATTAGCATTACGAATTAGCACCGTTTCTTATGTCATTGTTTGATGAAAATGGGTAATAAAAGTAATAAAGCTGATTTGTATAAAATATTTACGCCATTCATACTATCAACAGTATTTCTAGATAATGCATATTATGTTATTGATGGAGGCTGGCTACTACATCAAGTTCACTGGAATAATAAAGATAGTTTCCGAGTTATCTGTCAAAAATATTTTTCATACATTAAAAATCATTTTCGAGCCGCTATAGTAGTTTTTGATGGGTCCAGTAATGAAATAGTTGCAGTAAAGACTTATGAAAGACTTAAGCGTCAAGAGAAATAATTCGCCACAGATTTAAATATCGAAATGGACATGATAGCGACTTTTTCACGAGAATTTTTTTTAGCAAACGTTTTAATTAAACAAAAAATTATTTATTTATTATCACACTTTTTGAAACAATCACGAATTCCTGTTGAAGAAGCAGTCGGCGATGCAGATACATTAATCGTTACTACAGCTCTCACACTAAAGAATAAAAATTAAGTAAGACAATTGTAATTGTTGGAAATGACGTGGATCTCTTCATCTTATTAATTGATCAAACGCCAGAAAACCAATCAATGTATTTTTATAAAATGGGTTCTGGCCGACAGGGAAATACCTTATTCTCCACATCTAATAATAAACAGTCAAACTCTTTATTTTATTTTCACAAGCATGTGTTGGATGTGATACCACAAGTGCCTTGTACAATAAAGGGAAAAGAAAAATAATCACACTTCTACAGAATGATCCCGGTTTGGTGAAGATGATTCGAACATATTACGTAAAAGAGCAGGATTTTTCAATATTGTACAAAGTACGTCGTAGAGTCGTAGCAGAAACAATTATATTTCATTAATACTCATCCAGCAATAGAAAAGATAACCATAAAACGCTTGCTGAACTTCGAAAGGAACTAATTAATTCATCATTATATCAGCACAATATGGAAGAATCATTAGCATCATTACCTCCAACAAGACCAGCACTGCAAGAACACACGAAATGGGTTTACTACCAAATTCAAGAATGGTTGGGAAACCAGTTGGAACCTGAAAATTGGGGGTGGAAGAAATGTGGATTCATCACTGGAAACATAATACTCCCAGCTAATATGTCTCCAGTGATGAATCCAGCGCCGCCAGCTCCAGAAGAACTTTTAAAATCAGTAAGAATTAATTTAATTGTTATCAAATTATCGAAATTTTATTATCAGCTCCACGATGACAAAGTAAATTTTTTACAGATTCATTGTAGTTGTCAGAAGTGCGACACAAACCGATGCACTTGTAGAAAGAGCGGCATTAGGTATAGTGAATTATGTAAAAACTGTGAAGGAGAAATATGTGACAACCGATCATTAAAAGAAGTACAAAATTTATCAGCAGATGACGATGGGGATGAAGGAGAAAATAAAGTGGAAGACTCACAATTAGATGAACATCAGTCAGAACATGAAGAAGAGGAAGAAGAATTATTCGACGAAGTGGCTGTCGAAAATCCTATGAAATTTGATGAAATGGAGGTCGACATTGAAAATTATTAAAATTTATATGTCAATGAACCATGTAAATAATGTAGCTATTAAAAATAAAAAATCATTCCATAAATTTCAAGAATGAAAGTTTCTTAACTTAGTTTTTTATATAGATCGAAAAAGGAAGAAATTTTAAATTGATTGAGCACTATTTTTTTTTCTTTTTTTTGTCAAAAAATGGCGCTTTTTTTTTAATGCCAAGAAAAGTACAGCTCAATAGATCCAGAATCCGATAAAATAAAAAAACAGGTCATATAATAAAATTGATTTTTTTTTGTCAAGATTATTTTTTGAAAAAAGGAATAAATAAATAAAAAATGCCCGAAACATATTGCATTTTGTTCAAAACTATGGGAGATACGCGAAAATACGTTGATACCTTTTTTGTATGAAATTTAATTTGCTACAACTTTGTACTAGGAATTTTTGCTATTTTCCCAACCAGTCGCGAGATATTGACGAAAAGTCGGTATAAACAGGGGAATATAATGCGTTTTTTTATCTGCTGTGTAAAGAGTACCTACGCTGTGGTTTGAAGTTGGAAAGAAATTCTGTAACACATATGAAATTCCAATAAACGTTGTAAAATAAATCGGTACCAAAGAATCGTATTAATCTGGAACCGACGATGATAGTGCTGACAAAATCGATAAGTATCAGTATTAAATTTTAATAGACTAAACTAGTTATTAACATACTTATGGTTTTATTTCGTAATTACTAAATAAATGTTTGGTAGAAAATTTAGCGCCCATTAGAGTAGGGTCGTTTTTCGTTAGTGGTTTTAGATGCTGAATCTGGGGGAGAGTTCATAATTTATGCGTTGACAGCACTGTACACAACTTACTTTTTTTAACACGAACCACACAACGAACTGCACGATCGTGTAAAAGTGTAAAAGTGTTGGTGGACTAAAGTTGTCATAATTATTGTATTGCAGTTGCATTTAGGTATTAAATTTAAGAAATTACAAAATTCTACTTTTAAGTTTCCTTGAAGTGGTAAATAATGAGCCCCTAGCCATGAAAATGAAATTATCATTTTATGCAGTTGGATTAATTTTCCCAGATTTGCCCAAACATGTCGGATTCAGAGGATGAAGAAACAGCTATGAGAAATTTTACAGAAATACATAGAGAAATAGAGAAATGCAAAAAAAATCCAGAAACATCTGGGATGTTTGTGTCTGGATGGGATGACGATGATGAAGGTGTTAATTCTGCATCGGATCCAAAAGGTTTGTTTGTAATTTATCTAGACTGTGTATGTTGATGATTACAAGTTTTACAGTAGATAAAATTTAAATAATAAATTATGAGAATGTTATTGACCTTTTTTTTCAGGCTAAAAAACTTCAAACTGTTAAAAATTTAGAGGTAAATCAGGTAAATCCCCATTTAGCATCATGGGCTCCTCTACTATAAGTTGTTTAACAAAAATAATGCACCGTTTAAGGGTTATAAAGCTACATTTCAGCATAACTTTTTAGTTACTTACAGCATACTAACAAAACTTCACATTCATTTGAAAGTTACAAGCTATAAAATAATGTTTAAAGTAAGTCTCTAGAGGTCTTATTCAGTGTTAGGAAGTAATGAAGTATTTTCATACTTTACATCATTATTTTTGTTTTTCTATTGTAAAACAAATTCTCAAGAAGTTATGTACAAAAGATGGTTAGAATCCACTTACCTACCCATTTCAGAGATCCAGCAAAACCCACAAACATTACTCTAGTAGGATCTCGAATAACTTCAAATAAGTTGCAACATTCACCTCATCCAGACAATTAATTATTTAGCTAATATTTATTACGATATTCAAAATAAAAAGTAAATGTCTGGCTGTGGTAATGTTACCCCAGCAGGAAATTATTTTGTGAAATAACTAAAAAACTTTAAGTGAAACAAATTTAAAAATGTGCCTAACAATTACAGAAGCTGAGTAACTAATTATTTATAACATTTAAATGACTGTGAAGCTAGGACGCTAGATATGACTAGGAAGAGAGTAAACAGTAAAATGACGAATGATAGAGTAGAATGAAAGAATCATACATACTGCGCAGACCCTAAATAAAATTCGGATAAGGGTAGGCAGATGATGAAGGGCAAATGAGGTTCCTGATCTGTATTAAAATAAATATTTGCAGCTAATCCTATTGATCATGTATTGTGGGCAGCAGAGAATGGTAAACTTGAAACTTTAAAGGAACTATTACAGAAACAACCTGGTCTAATACATGCTCAAGATTCAGATGGATACACACCTCTTCATCGAGCAGCATATAGTAATCATGTGGAGATAATATCATACTTGATCAGTGTTGGAGCCAAAATACATGCAAAAACTCAATTGGGATGGACACCATTACATTCTGCTTGCAATTGGAATAATTATATAGCTGCTGCTAGATTATTGGCTGCCGGTGCAAATCCTGCAGCTGTATCTGATGGGGGTAAGAACAATATATTTAAATTTTCAATTATGTAGACTACAACAATCACCAAATAATTGCGTCTATTTGTCCTCTTAACAATAAGGTTTATATTCCAAAGTAAGCATAGTAATTATAGTTGTATACTAAACAGAGCAAACACAAGAGTAACAAAATTCGTGTCATGCTCTACTGCAGAGCCACCATAATATATACCAATCAATTACAGTTTAAAATGTAAAATGTTAAACGTACAAAATGTAGTTTGGGCCATTAACGCTGTATGTACACTAGGTAACAAAATAATGAGCACCGATTGTGGCTCTACTGTGGAGCATACTCCCTAGCAGAGCCACTTAATACACATGTACTCAGGACAGATAAAAGGTACTGTTTTCTTATGAAAACTGATGTACGAATACTGTTTATTACATACGGGTTGTGAAATATCACTATCAAGATGTGGTTTTGATTATTTTCACTTTACTGTAATTTTTTATAGAAAACGCCTTGTTATTTTCTGTTAGCAAATCGCTTCTTTTTAACGATTACTATTTTATTTTATTAAGTGCACAAATTACAGTAGAGTGAATATAAACAAAACCAAATCTTCATATTATGAAATTTTACAACACGTAAGTAAAAAACAGTTTTCGTACATCAGTTTTAATAAAAAAAACAGTAGATTTTATCTGTCCTGAGTACCTGTGCTCTGCAGGAGGGTAACAATCGATGCTCATTACATTGTTACCTAGTGTACGTATAACGATAATGACCCTAGTACATTATATATTGACCTAAAATGCATTTTAAGACATAATTGATTGGTATTTATCATGGTGGCTCTGCAGCAGAGCATGAAACCAAAACTTAATTCATAATATATTTGATGTTATTTGATCATGTTTTTATTTATTTTTTTAAAGTTCTTTATACATATGTATATTAAAGTTTTTATACTAATAAAACGTCTAAAAACAAGCCACATTAAGATTAAACATAACATTGTTAGTGTAATATAATTTCTTTTTATATTTCAGAACAAACTCCCATGCATTTAGCAGCAGCAATAAGTCATTGTAAATCAACTTTGCTGATTCTGTTCTTGAGAGATGATACTGTGGATCTAGCAAATAAGCTTAATAATTCAAATGAATCACCAGCAATGTTGGCTCAAGGTCATGGCATATATGGACCTCTTTTTGAAATGTTATGTCCTTCAGTATCTTATATAAAATCCTTAGCATTTACTTGTAATCCTTATGTAAGGTATGGTGTTAATAATAATTAAATAACTAAATATATATTTTATTTTATTTTAAAATTAAAAAAAATATTTATATTTAACTTAAAATATGTTTACATCGGTAATCAAACACTTTATTTATGAATTAGAGACTAGAGATACAGAAATAATGTATGTAAGTATATAATTATAGTACAAAACGGCCGAGTTCAACGGTAAGCAGAATAATGACGATGAATGCGCTAAAATGACCGTCTCACAGTAGATATCAAGTCAGCAGTTTTTAGGGTATGCTCGATTTAATTTAGATAATAAACTAGGAAAAACACTAAACAGCAATCATCATAATAAATTCTCCATAGGTACACACAGCAAACGAAATACTTGGTCCTGGTCTCTGGTGCATTCTTTGTAACTTGTTTCTTCACTCATACCTAAATTTACAAATTACTACCGTTTTTAAAACAATTTTGCGTTAAGAGTTTCAATTTCTCTAGTATTAATTTGAACATAAAGGTACTTCACACTACTGACCAGGAATTTCGTTTGCCTCGTGAGCAAACTTAAGGGTATGTAAACTTAATATACAAAATATGACTATAAAAAATAGTAAAACTTTCTTAAAGATAATTAACAATAATGGTCTAATTATATTATTTAAAGTAGTGTTAAAAGTAACAAACATCTCTTTCTTTTTTAATGTACAAAGTATTATCGATATGCTCGGGATGCCATTCTTTCTATTACATGCATAGCACCAGATACAAGATAGGTTTCTGAATTCAAATTTTTTAAACTAGCAATAAGGTTTCTTCTATCAACTTTTTGCAGTTCTGTTAATCCTTGTCTACATTGGGAACTCATGTATGGTAAAACTAAGCAGCCCAAGCCAAAACATTTACATCTTAAACAATTTTTCCATATTTCAACCAAATCTTCATCTTTAATGAGGGGGCAGACAGGTAACAAATTAATTGTATTTAAACATTTCGATCTCTGACGTTCTGTTATAGGATAATCTGCACGCTGAAATGGTGACAGAATAACAGCTCGCCATGCAGAACATATAGCGCTATCAATTTGACCTGAAAGCTTTAGTAGTAACGGAATAATCTCTTCAAATAACCCTGCGCGTAATAAAAATGGAATTAGGCTTCGTATAATCTGCGTTGAACCAAATCTGGCCGCTAACTGCGCAGCAATTTTTAAACCAGCTGTATTCCCTTCTACATTTTGTAATAATTGCTCCAGACCCCTGCTTTTATCATGAGTAAACGTAGCCGCGATCCACGGCATATCCACACATTCCAAATTAACAACACTGAATAATTCTATAAGTGATATCCATAGAGCATCTCTTTCCTTACTTGTAACTTTAATAGCAGTGTCAGAGTCAACTATACTGATTAGACATTGAAGAGCTCTTAGTTTTTTATATTTGTTATTTTCACTTTCATCATCAAAGGCGATGCGAGATAAGTATATAGCTCCCATTTTAGGACAGGTTGCCTTAAGTATATACTTAGCAGTCATTAGTTCTTTTACAGTTAAAGCAATGATATCTTTATTATCAGCATAAGATTTTTCAAGAATATTTTCCAATATTTGAATTCTGATAGAACTAACATTAATACCATTCTTATCAGCTATTTCGTTTATAGCTCTATTCACATCATGACGATTCATTTTTGATACAAAATCCGAGTGAAAATATAATGTACGAATAAGTTGAGCTGGTTCGGTAGAAAGTCGAACAAATTCTTCACATGCCCAGTCTATTTTATACAAAGCATGACGTGTTGAAAGAGTTGAATGTAGACGCTCCATTTGACGAACAGCGCGATTCCCAGGTTGCAAAGAAGCCCAGCGTTGGGCAAATTGGTAGCATAGATGAGCAGCCGCAACTTGGTCAGCTCCTCGAGCACATCCTTGCAGCACGTAAAAAAGACATGCGCCTGCCCATTCCATATTAGCAATGTGTTTAACACATCGATGTGCTGCCCGGAGCAAGGGTTCTTCTCGACTGGTAAGTCCCCACGGTTCATGTTTAGTGTCTGAATCCATATCCTCGATTCGTTTTCGCATAGTCATCGTTTGTTTTACAGCATTACTGCAAATCATATCTCTTGCAGTCTGCATGTCAGAATCCAAAGATAGCAAAGCAACAGAAGGTAGCCAACGTTCGTATGTTTCTAGGGTAATCTCAGATTTCAAGTTAGCCCACATATCTTCTCTCATAAACAGATGAAATGGTAACCTAAAATGGCCAATCTCTGGAAACATTCCCTTAATAGAAAATAGCTCATATTCATATTGCTTTGGACTGCTCGTTCTTTTGTACTCTTTGAGAAAATGTAGCAGAAAATATTCTTTAGTATTTTTCATTTCGCAAGTATATCCAAAAATAAGACGATATATACACAAGAATACTTCATAATAATAAGGATTTATAGAGACTACACGACCGTGCAATGTAATTTCACCATTTCTCCAAAAATCATTTAATATATCCTTTAACAAGTCTTTGTTATCGATACTCTCCCAAATAATAATACATCTATTTAAACGAGTTTCATTACTTTCAATCAGAATTTGACGCTGACTTAAATTATCAACATAAATGTTGTATTTTAATTCCCAAGTCGACAACAATGCTATCAGTTGAAGTGATAGACCGTCATTTGTTGAAATATTTAACGCACGACAAAGTTCAACCAGTCTTTCAAAGCTTGTGTCCGGGTATTGTAATAAAACGTAAAAAAGTATAACTTTGACATCCCATGTTTCTTCACTACTTTCCGGTAAAGCAATATCGGCTAAATTGATATTAAACTTTGATTTAAGAATATGCTGAGGAGGATATGATACTGAGTTACACACATCTTTAGTAAATAAATCGTGATCGAAAAGGAAGGTACGACGAATAGATGGCAATGTAAGATAGCACAGAATATGATGTGGTAAGAATTCGTTTTGCCCTTTCAACACTTCAATGACCCCTGAAATATTTTCATCATAAGTTCTTATTATAAGTAACAAGCTGGTAATTAAAATTTCATCAAGATCTTGAGATGTAACTACTTTGCTTAATAGTCTCTTAGTAATCTCGACCACATCATCAAAGTAACCTGTTTTATTAACTTTTTCATCCACTAAAGTATTAGAAATTAGTCTAAGTAAAGTAAAATCACATTTGCTATAAATATTTGGAGGATCTGTTACACAATGTTCAGGATACAGTTTAGTTCTATAGAAGTTGATCAAATCATTCATGGCAGTGCTTGATGAGATTGGTAAAAATATGTATTGAAATTTCCACGCTATTGACAAATTCTTAACAACTATATTAGTATGAATGAGAGTATTCAATAAAGAAATTTGATTAATCAAATTGTGTAAATATTGTTCACTGCAAACTATAGCTAAATCAATCAAAACGTTATAAGACTTCAACAACAAGCTAGAATTCTCTCCATACTGGAATTGAGATAATATTTTCATAAAATCGTCTACTGAGACATCTTTGATAGAAAACAATCTTATGAGATATTCAACAAGTTTTCTCACTTGATGACACGTGGAAGTCCTTCGCAGAAGAGCCAAAAGAACAGACTGTTGCGATTGACATGCTTGTGTGAGTTGAGCAACACTTCCGCCGCGCCCCGAACTAGCTGATTCCCCGTCTTGATTTATCCAACTGCTCACTGTGTTTTCACAGGAACCTTCGTTATAAATATCGTTCATGTTTAACAATACACTGTAAGAATACTTAAAATGATATAACGTTTCCAGGTTGTTCATTTCAATTACATTCAAAAGCTTTGCTCCCTTAATAAAATCTAAGTAATTCTTTTCTACAGTCAATTCATTTTTGCCTCTACTAATTATTTGATCGTATTTCGCTACTACAGCTTTAAGCAATAACTTTTTTTCTTTTGTTGGTATATTATTAAAATACTTTAATGCTAATCTTGTCTCACAATCCTGAAGGCATCTTTCAATATATAAAATATTGCCATAATGTTTGTACATAGGCATGACACTTGTTATTACATTCAAATCATCAATTTCTATTGCTGGGACACATACTACTTTATGAAGTACTAACATGTAATCTGTACAAGACATAGGAAAATTATATTTCTTTAATATAACTTTTACATTAGCATAATTTATTTCTTTTTGTATCTCAAGTGAAAGTAATCTTTCTGTATCAGAAGCAGTAAAATTTTTAGTAGTGTTTGCAACTGTAGAAATGGCAAGATCAATTACAGAGATGTTCCATGGCACATCCAACACTTTTAGAACTTGAAGTAAACATTCTAGTTTATTATTGTATGAGTGAAATGCTTCCAATAAGATTTTTAGGCGACTGCCATCTATACCACCCCCACTACTTACTGCTTCACTTTCTATGTAAGATGACAAAATTTCATCCATGTCAAATAAGTGCTGCAAAACATAAGATGGTAAATAGTTTTGTAAAAAGATTGATAAGTCTTCAGTGTAGCAACGCCTAATCATTATTAATGCAATTTCATTTGGACTTTGTGAACTTAATTCACTCAATAACATATTGATTTTATATTTTTCTTTCAATTCTATGATATGAGTAATTCTAGTTTTTAGTAGGTCAAGATCATCCATGGAGAGGGGCCGTACCCAAATAGACTTAAAGGAGGTTTCCAGAATTAAAATAACTTCTTCAACAAATTTAACACCTATTTTGGGCCAATATGTTGATTGTTCTAACATAAAAACCCTTACAGTCGCCCATCGAACAAATGTATCAATGTAAAATGGGTTTATTTCTAACAAAGGTGGAATAAAATTTTTCAACCAAATAATAATGGAAGCAATTTTCGCATTATTGCTTATTGAATTTAGAATTATGAGTATTTCATCAGAGGAGATTGTCAGTTTCAGTTGTGAATATTTTAGCCAACAAATAGAGGCTATATCAAAATCATGCTTATTTAAAAATATTACACAAAGACTTATAAGATTTTGTTCAAATAAATCAATATTCTCATAACTATGGTTACCAGTGAATTGGATGTATTCAACCAAATCAATTTTTATGGATAAATCAGAAACCATATTATTCAAATTGGAATTGTTTGTGGCTAAAATTCTCTTTTGAAGTAGATATAAAATGGATTTATAACTAATATGAAGCTGACACAACTTTTGTAAAGTTTCTACAAGAAAGGCAAAATCATCAATCTGCTCAAATAATGACTGCAATTGTGGTAGTACATCAGCAGGCGTTGTATCCACTGAGATAGACTCTATTAGAGCAGTTAATTGAGTTTTATAAGTTTCTATTGAAGTTGTGTGTAAATATTCTTCACTATTTCCAGGAAGTTTCTTTGATGAGGATTGAGCGAAGATAGCACAGCAAACATGAACCTGGAATATTATAGATATTATATTATTACAAATCACCAGGGCAACCAAGCTCTACTGTTTTTTGGTGTATGATAAATAGACTTTTTTGTGTATTCAATTAACCTTGAAAAGCAAACATTGTCTAAGGCTATATGTATACATTTTTTTGCAAAATTCTGTTACACATAAGATCGATTTAGGATAGTGCGGATAGCACTGATGGAAAAAAAACACATGAAAACAATCTGTGATTTGGCATATATGGTAAATACATCTATTTTCAATGCATACTACGCGTATTTCCGACTTCAAAATATAATGCGTGAGAATAAGAACCTCTCAGTGAAATATTGCTGTAGGGGCAGGCCCTAATTGCCAGCTAAATAATGGATTATAATGATTTTTTACTATTATTATCTATAAAAAAGGATATTTTTAAGCAAAATATTAAAAGATGACCATATCACATTTATATTAGACTTTCTTTCAACCAATCTAATAATGAATCACATTTAAGTAAAAGGCAACAAATTATTCAAGGTATTAACTTTTTATTCATATTAAACACTTATATTATATATATCATAAGTATATTATATTAAATGAATAAAGTTCAAAGTATCATTTAAAAACTGTGGTCAATTTTATTATGTCACATAGTATACATGCAACATTCATACATTATTATGTATTAGCAGCTAAATAAACATGAACCCAGCCTTAACAATTGAATTAAAAAAGCTATTCTCAATCTACTCTTGCTCTTAGCTCAATATGAAAACTTAAATATAAAAACACAGGTATTCTTTTACTGAAAAGGAGACGCCATATTTTTTGTAACAATGTGCAATTTTTATGAAATAAATTATTATTAAAAGTCTCACCTTCTCACTGTTCCACTGAAGATAATAGAAAACATCATCACATGCCTGCACAGGGTAATAGTTTCCCTCAATATTTTCAAACTCAAAAATTATTTGATCATCTTGTAGATTGACAATCCACATTTTGGAATCATTAGCAAATACCACTAGGTCGCTCCATATTGCAATGTTACATAATTCCATTTTGGAGCACATTGCCTCTAATAAACCTGTTATGGGACATTCCATCATGATTGTTCCAGATTCTTTGTACAAATTCATGCCATTTAAAGAGTAAAACGTAGTTTTGAAGATAGTGCTAAGTATGGTGGTCTTTTTGAAAGGTAGGTGCACCTCAACATTGCATTTTTCTAATTGTTCAATCACATTTTTTATATCATAAGAAATTTCAAATGAATCTCCACTTTCACTAAGAAAACAAAGCCGATTCTGATACATTCCAATTTGACGTAACTTGAGGCTGATGCTGTTTTCGTTAACAATAATAACTTGAGTATTTTTGAAAACATCTATTACCATAATTTTTCCAGACTCAAAAACAAGCCACAGAAAATGTAGCACTAACTTTTTGTCTGATATTTCTTCTTCAAATGTATGTATTTCCTCTTCACTAGTTTCATCTTGGTTGTTATTTACTAAATCCACAACAACAATATTTTTCTTGTTTTGAAAAAGGATTAATTTAGGATAAACAAGTTCAGCATCCACGTAAGATGCATTAAACGAAGGTATTGTTTTAACCTCGGATAAAGTGATTGTCATATTTACTAAATGAAGGGTCCGGCAGCCCGTTAAAATTAAAATATCCAACAGTTAAACAAATAACGGTGCAAAAGAAACTGCTTGGATTTTGAAATTGACTTTAATTAATTGACACCACTTTTCAATGTTGCCAGACAACGAAAACTGTCCCAAAAGTGCCATTGGATTAATATGCTACGAATACTAAGAGATCACTTTTGTCTTTAGTGCATAAAGCAACACAGGCCGCCGACCCGCCGACCAAAGTAGCCATAGCAGCCATAGTGCCTCTTTTAGCGATACAAAATAGTCTGTCATTATTTGCGGGGGGAAATATTCACCACGAAAATATTCTCGGACTCCCATACAAAAACAATTAAAACAACACATTAACAATTTCACACACATACAGTGTAATGAAATGACGCACTACATAGACATGTTGCCAAACAACCGTGGCTGTAACAACTATCGATATGCATAAACGATAAATTCGAGAAGTCGATTAGGGAAATCAGGTTTAAAAAATGATACAAGGGTGGATATTCTTTTTCCTTTCTTAAAAAAAAGACAACTCCCGCATTAGAAATATATCCTGTGTCGCGGGAGACTTTTACAAACATACGTGAAACGGATACAAAGAACACCCAGACTCAGAACAACAATTTGTGGATCACACAAAGTGTCGTTCCATGTAAGGTTTGAACCCACAACACTAATCCCGTAATGGAACGCAATGATATTGCTTTGTATCGATGCGAATTTTTAAGACCAGCGAAAAAAATAGAAGATTGGTCGAATGTTGTTTTCACAGATGAAACTTAGCTCAATGCGAATCATACGCTGTCAAAAACTTGGACTGACAACACTGCTGGCTCCACTTCTGCAGTACCAATGGGAAAAGGCGAACGACTGATTATTTGCCATGCAGGAACAGTAAAAGGAATTGTGCCAGGCGCTCTATTAGCTTTCAAATCCCAGAAAACAGGAGATTATCATGAGGAGATGAATTCGAACGTGTATGAAAAGTTGTTCAGAAAAATGCTTACATCACTCGAAGAGCCATCAATAATATTTATTGATAATGCACCCTATCACTCTCGTCAAATTAATAAAATGCCAACACAGGTCAACAAAAAACATGAAATCATAAACTGGCTCCGTGACAATGGCGAGGAGGTAGACGAGTCCCTACTAAAAGTAGAGTTAGTAAAAATATTAAAAACAAAGAAGTTGCCAAAACGATACGTCATAGATAAAATGGCGTCCTCAGAATTCCCCCATATCCCTGCCAATATAATGCAATTAATAATAATAATAATAATACTCGTAATATCGTTTATTTTCTCACCAAAACCAAAATGCATACAATGAAATTACGAATACGCTATAACATTTGACAATTTCGGTAGTGGATAGCTGGTGCCTGAGGTAGGTATAAAAACCTGTGTTACAGGACACCAGGTCCCCACTCGGACCTCGTCTTGACAATTCAAAATACCTTTGTGAAGTGGTTACAATATAGTTGTGCAAGAGTACAAAATTTAAGAAAAAAAAGAAAAAGAAACGAGCGGGAGTAGTAATAATTGTAACATTAACAAAAACAGGGTGTGTGTGTGTGTGTGTGTGTGTGTGTGTGTGTGTGTATGTGTGTGTGTGTGTGTTTATGTATGTTTGTGTTTGTAGTGAGATTGGAGTTGTGAAGGAGTATATGCGTTATGTCTGCAAGCCCTACGAGATGGTCTTGGGATTGGATCAGTCATATGACATATCCACTAGACTTACATATGTGCGCACACCAGTTTCTTTAAGATTTATGTACAATGCATGTGTTAGTGTTTGATATGGAATGGATGCGCCAGTGTGTCACTGTAAGATCATTAATAGGTCCTCCGTCTCTTTATATGATTGCTTTAAGAGCCATTCTGAGATGATGGCTTTACATTGGTATGTATTAAGACTATGTAGGGACAAAATTTTGTGCAACTTTTTATACAAGTAGGGCCCTAGAAAATGAACTTTTAACATGCAATGATACGACCTCCAAACCATTACGGCGAGTATTATCAGAGGTGTAATAAGTTTGAGAGTGCTGTCTGAGAACGGTAGCTTTCACAAACAATTGCCTTACTGTGAGAACTTGGCAAATTTCATAAAGCCTTTTAGTAGGGTACAGCCGAGGCTTGAAACAGCAAACCTTTAACACAGCTCTTTGGGCACGCTCAATCTGCAAGGTGTGAGATTTAGCTGCACCCCCCCATGTGGTAATGCAATAATTTAAGATAGATTGACATAGACCTGTATGGACCATTTTCATTACATGAGCATCAGCAGAGTGTCGAAGTTCTTTAAACATATAGATAAGTTTGCGTACTCTACTTGAGATATAATTAATATGATTTTTGAAAGTTAGGTTATTATCAATATAGATACCTAGATGTTTAATAGAAGTTACTTTTTCTATGAAATAAGAGTCACTACAAGGAGCATTATTAGGTAGGTTAAAGGTTATTTGTAGGGAAGTGTCTAACGGATTAGGGGATCGGATAGAGAAGTTAACTACTTTGGTTTTGGTATTGTTTATCGTGAGTAGATTATTTCTTAGCCAATTATTAACCACATCGACAACAAGTTAAAGGATATGCTGCGAGGAACAATACAACTCCTCCTTTCACAGCAAGAAAAATGCTGGATTTACTAAAAAATGTGTGTGTAAAAGTAACTCCTGAAAACTGGATACGATAAATCGATTCAAGCTTGTAGAGTATTTGATTGATTTGACTATATATCACAAAGTGCATTGGATTTAAGTTATAATTAGAACATATAACTTAAACTTTAATGTTATAGGCAATTCGAAATGATACAATGAAAAGAAATGTAAATTTGTCTTTAATTTAAAAATTTATCTCAATCACAACAAAATCAAGAAAAGTGAAATCAATCATTTTCTTCTGATGACGAGCCAGATGAGCTATCATCGCCTGTATATATAATTATTTCATTTTCTATAATATTATCAATATTAACGTCTCTATCATAATCTTCCTTTATTATTTTTCGCGTCTTTTCTACCACTTTTGCCCAATCTTCTTTAGTTATTTTATCACAAGCTTCTTTTAACAATGTCATCATATTCTTAGTGGAGAATGGTGGCTTTGTATTATGACGTGCAGCGTATCCTTTGACCTGAGCCCAGATTAATTCAATAGCATTGTACTGACAATGGTACGGCGGTGTTCTTATCAATTTGTGACCATGTTGAAGTGCCAATTTATTTTGTTTTACTAATTCCAGCAGTTCAGCTTTCAATAAATTCATGTCAGCTTCTACGCCTTTTCTTTGTAACCACGCCACTAAATGTGCCTTTTTGCTTGCTTGAGTAGGTGCCTTATCTATTTGAACTGAATGGTAAGGTGCATTATCCATAATTATTGTGCACTGTTCGGGCAGGTTTATTAACAACTTAGTAAACCACTCTAAGAATTTATTTGCATCCATTTCTTCGTGGTATTATTTGTACTTCTGGACAAAACCTCCCCCGGCTGATCCGGCATGGCAGATTATTAGGCGTCCACCCTTACACATTGGCACTTTTGAACAAGATGCCTTGGTATCATCCGTCCATGACTGTGGCACGGTATGATTCGAGTTCAGCCAAGTTTCATCGATAAATATGACATTATCCCAATTTGTAATTTTGTTCATTTGCCTCAAGAATGATACTCTGTGCAAAATTATATCATATCGTTCCATCATAATTTTCCTCTTGTCGGTTTTCTTGTATTTGAAACCAATTTGCTTCATAATTGTTATTAAAGAGGTTGCACTGCCACTAAACAGTGCCTCTCTTAGTGATACCACCAACTTACTTACAATTGGGTACTCACTTCTCGTGTAATAAGCATATACGTGGTTTCGAATAGCATCTGCGTCAAATGTGTCAATACCTGTTACAGGCTTGCTTTTCTTCCACTTCTTAAGCGTATGTAACACATTTTCTTCAGTACCGGAAGACCCATACTTTTCCTTCAAAATGGTTCGAATAGTTTTTTTGCCGATTCCAAGTGCTTATGCTACGTGATCTTGCACTTGAGTTACGGGTAATAATGGTCCACCATTAACTGATTCGCGTTCGAAGTATTCGGTTAACTTCACAACCAATTCGCGTGATTGGCTGTTGATTGTACGTCCTCTTTTCGACATGTTGAAACAGAGTTTGTACAATATAACAACAAACACCAAAATCGAGTCCAAATCGCTATGTCTCATCAATGTCCGGAATAGAAGAGCCAAGGTCAACATGATAGTAAACAAAAACAGTCCAAAAGCAAAGCCGAGTCTAAAATAAACAAAAATTTTTAACAAAAAAAACCGACTTCAAAAAACACTACATATTCCAAAACAAATTAATATGCACTAAAAAGGAAAAAATAAATGCATATTGTTCTACAACTTAATAATCAACTTACTTTTTCTACTCATCTATATGTAGGTACGATCTATGTGTTAACCGCGCAAGAAGGTAGGTAGGTACCTACCCATTTCAAATCTAATTTAACATATACCTGTGAATAACAAACAACGATCAAAATATTTATTTGAGTTCTCCTAAGTAAAATAAAATGAATATAATGTAGTTACAATTATTGATATTTTTGGAGTCGGTGTCAGCCAAGGAAACACTACGATATACCTAGCAATAATAATACGAGAATACTTTAAGACTCGTCAACTCGCGCGTGCGACACAAGCACTTCTCACTTATAAGGTGTAGGTGACACCGACTTGGCTGACACCGACTCCAAAAATAACAATAATTGTAACTACATTATATTCATTTTATTTTACTTAGGAGAACTCAAATAAATATTTTGATCGTTGTTTGTTATTCACAGGTATATGTTAAATTAGATTTGAAATGGGTAGGTACCTACCTACCTTCTTGCGCGGTTAACACATAGATCGTACCTACATATAGATGAGTAGAAAAAGTAAGTTGATTATTAAGTTGTAGAACAATATGCATTTATTTTTTCCTTTTTAGTGCATATTAATTTGTTTTGGAATATGTAGTGTTTTTTGAAGTCGGTTTTTTTTTGTTAAAAATTTTTGTTTATTAAATAGAGCTTTAGCATCTCGTTTTTTAGACAAAAGACAACATAAATCTAGATTAATGAACTATTGTTAGTCCTCTTCACCTTTCTCAATAGTTATTTGGGGTCAGTGCAATGTCTTTTAAATTTCCATTTTACCCTATCCGTCGTTACTTTCATGTAGTCGATCCATCATATCATATGAATTCCATAGATCACATGGTCGTTATCTACTTTTATGTACGTTGATTTCCATACACAAATTTCTTCACAATATTTCGTTCATTCAGCGCATCGTATGTCATAGACACACAAAAATAAATTTTTACAAAGACTAAAAGAGTTACTTCTCAACAGTTTTTTAGACATACACGCTTTTTAACTCTCCTTATATTTCTGCTGTTTTCAATTGCAGACGTAGTAGAACCAAGTTTTTAATCAGATGACTATTTGCTTAAAATCTATTATACTCTGCTTGAAACACATTAATGCCGTAATTACTGTGTATCTCCTTTGCTAGATAAAATCTGGGCGTTCCATTCCAAGTGCCTAATGGTGCCAGAGTACGGAGTAATGTTTATGTTCGATATCAGTGTAACACCGCCGATAAGATGACATTACGGAATACTGCCAACCTAAAGAAAAAAAAACACAAAGTACATTTGAATTGTAATTGGCGTAAGGAAGCTAAAGTGTGTTTTTGTGTAGGGTTGTCTAGATTTTCATTCGATATTAGCAAGAAAGAAAACAATTATTTTCAGGTCTATACTTTTAATGTTGTTTTTGCTTTAAATATCAAACAAAACGAAACCCCACAATGTCTTATTGTATTGGATCTGACGATAAAATAATGATCTACATACAGTTGTGTACTACATGACTGTGTTGTATCTGAATTGATTTTTCTAAAAATCAAGTTTTTTCATATGATTTAAAATATACGGACAAAGAATATTACTCCTTTTACTTCTAAACACTCGCAACATCCTAATCGTAAGTGTAACCTAATGAGCTTTGCTGTTTATATTGCCCAACCTATGAAGCCTATGAGCCTATGAAGGAGATTTTTATTGGACCTTTATTTTTTTTTGTAATATACGTGTACAGATATCGGGTCTAACTTTATCCCATTCATTAAAAAGTTTCCTTTTTCGGCTTTTGAAAAAATCCCAAGAGAGATCATACAACTGAGTCTGGAATAAATGAAAATGGAATTATTATAATTTTGTATACGGGATGAGAAGTACATGACGACTTTCACATTATTATATGGTATACATACTCGTATACTATGTATAAAGATCAACTTTTAGATGTTCATCATTAGATTAACATCTAAAAGAACTCATCTGCCTTTATAAAGTTGCGAAGACCATAGCGCGAACCTCTCACAAAACTCTTAAGTGAGACATACTAAGAGCTCGTTCTGATTTTGCACGTCAGTCTTTTACATTTATAGGACCCTATCTCTACAAAAAAAATAAACAAAAATTTTTAACAAAAAAAAACCGACTTCAAAAAACACTACATATTCCAAAACAAATTAATATGCACTAAAAAGTGTGTGTGTGTGTGTCGCACGCGCGAGTTGACGAGTCTTAAAGTATTCTCGTATTATTATTGCTAGGTATATCGTAGTGTTTCCTTGGCTGTTTACGGTATAATTCTCTTATAGACTGACTTTTAAGGACTGTTCTCAAATGTGACTGTTGCAAAATGAGACATGACGTTTGAGACAGCAAAATGAGGATGAATTATTTTTTTCAATGTCACGATGAAATGATTTGTTAAAAAACCCAGAGTCCACTCCGGGTTTTTAAACCAAATCATTTAGTGTAAAATCAAAATATTCATATTAAATATCAAAATAAAGCTAAAACTGTATGTGATCAGATTTTGTTTTTATATGTTTAAATATTAAATAATACACTAATTACACATTTATCTCTTTTTTTAATGTAATTTTTGTAAACGATTTTCAGAAACTCTATTTTATTCGGCCATAAAACGGCTTTTTAACGGTTACAACACTACGGCAACCAACCCAAAGACATGACCTTGTAGTAAAGTCCTGTCGGAATATTAATCAACGATTAATTCGTGTTTTTGAGTGCATTTTTTCAATATAAAGTTAAACTTGATGCTTATTTATGATACGCGTTGTGATAGTGTAACATAGTAATTAAATAGGATTATGAATTTGCTTTTTCAATTTCTTACATAGACGTTCATACAAAGTTATCGCGGCATGTCAAATGGGAAACGTCAATACGGGCTTCTTATTTTGTGACGACTATAGCTTAACCAATATAAATAAAACATTACAAACCGATATTATTACAACCGATTTATTGATAAAAACAATGGTTTTAACAGTCAGAATACAAAGTTGGAACATAGTAGGTTAGTAGGTATTTACTCAAAATTTGATTGTTCTAAATAGTTGCGAATATTACACATTGAGGATGCATCTTCCGAAATATTCTGCTGGTGAATTTCTGGAATAGTTTCTGTAATGATGTGCGATTGTGATGTATTAGGCAGGCGATCCGTCGCTGAATAGTTAGACATCGCTGAATAGGAATGGGATGTATTGTCTATAGGTACATGAAATGGTGAATTGCCTCTAAAGCTATGTACATTTGTAGATGATCTCTCAGAAGAATTCCTCAAATGATTCATATGTTCTTCTTTAGCTTCCATAACTATATTGAATAATTGACGCTGCACCTTGAGTTGGAGTGCTTCTGGAAATGTTTGAGTGGTCATACATATACTTGAAAAAAAATATTCTAATGCTGTGGTCTGTTTCGGCACAGTAGTATCTTTGCACGAAAGTATTTCTTCTTTCTTAAATCATTTCGTTGAGCAGATCGCTCTGCCATCATTCTCTGCTCCTTTTCCATGACCGATATTAGTGTGGGTTTTTTCTTAGGTCGAGATGTCTCCCCATACGAGTGATCTAGTTCACTATCATACGAGTCTTCAGTATAGTGCGGTGCTCCTTGATCGCTATTTTGATTGGATGAAGATTAAATGTTTGTAAATCTTTGACGATTTTGCATACAAGGTGAAAGGAATTCCATCTGTTTTTCATATTTCCATTGATGCTTTGAAGTAGCCGCTTGGGCCAGATACAGTTTTCTTTTTGGAGATACCTTGGCGATGACCGTCTCTTAGTTTCTTCCACAAAGCTTGAGCCTCTGCAACTGAAACAAGCATAATTTTTTACAGGTATTTGGCGACTGGTGTATTTTTTCGAAGTATTGGTTACAGTTATAGAATTGGCGAGTCAACAATCTCAAAAATTGTCTCATTGTGTATGACGCATTATGAATAAGACTACAACCAATAGTATTGAAAGAACCGACTCAAGCCGAATGGAAACAGATTGCCATAGATTTTAAAAAAGTGTGCCAGTTTGACCATTGCTGTGGGGCAATAGATGGCAAACATGTGGTGATTCAATGCCCACCGAACTCAGAATTAACATATTTTAACTATAAAAAAACATTCTCTATTGTTTTATTGGCTGTATGTGACTCACAACGCAAGTTTATTGTAGTAGATATTGGATCTATGGGCTGATTCAGTGACAGTGGTATATTAAGCGAAAGAGAATTTGGTGAGAAGCTAAAAAGTTTTAATGTAAGATTTCCTGAAGAAGAATCTTTAACTGAGGGTGGTATTAACATGCCTTACGTCTTAGTTAAAGATGAAGCCTTTCCATTACTAAAAAAATCTAATGCGCCCATATCCAAGAGAACGTCTGACTGCAAGTCGAAGAATATTTAATTATAGACTCAGCAGAGCACGCCGCGTTATTGAAAATGCGTTTGGAATATTGGCTTCTCCATTTCGGATATACAGACGACCAATTGCATGTAAAGTTGACTTAGCGGACAAAATCGTTAAAGCTACTATAGTTTTGCATAATTATTTTATACAAAACACAAATGATTATTATTCTGGTGAAAATTGTGCAGGTCTCATAGTTAGAAATGAAAATCAGCTGGTATCATTAAGTAACAACGGATTTCGTTATTCTGATGATAGCTTTATGATACGAGAAGAATTCTGCCATTATTTCCACTCCTCTGGCAGTTTACCATGGCAGTTGAACCGAATCCAGCAAAGATTATTTAATACCAGACATTGAAATAAACAACGTCTAAACTAAATATCATTAGGTTTTACATAATAATTAGGTACCTATGTCATGTCGTAGCAAATAAAAGTTAAATCAGTTAGTTATTTATTTAGATAGTTACATGTCAACCGTGTAGTGACGGATTAAGAATACGGAATGTCACTACCCCAATTCATCCCGTCGGTGTCGTAAGAGCCGACTAAGGGTGCACAACAACGCAGGACACCAGCACTGCAAAAAGAAGGAAAACTTGACACAAACCCTATACCCACCCGCCTGGCCAACTGGTATAGTAAATGGTATAGTAGGCCAAATGGTATAGTAGGCCAAAACCTCCTGTCTAAGGAGAGGCCTATGTCCAGCAGTGGACTATAAAAGGCTGTTGATGATGATGATGATGTCAACCTAATAAAAGCGTAGTAATAATAAAAATGCTTACCGTTGGCCAAGTCGCATTCCTTTGCCACCTCTATCCACGCTGCTTCCTTAAAATCAATCAGTTTATATTCTTCAGAGTCCAATTTCCATGGACAAGGATATTTGCGTACTGTTTGAATTAGTCGTTCCATTTCGATTAGGGATATGAAATCTTGAAATAATACACGTACCGCGATGATAGGCACGTACCGCGCACTGCGCAGTCTTTCGTTCGACATCTTGTGAAGTTGACTGTGCGCTCGTTTATGTTTGATATTTTTTTTAGACTCGGCTTTGCTTTTGGACTGTTTTTGTTTACTATCACGTTGACCTTGGCTCTTCTATTCCGGACATTGATGAGACATAGCGATTTGGACTCGATTTTGGTGTTTGTTGTTATATTGTACAAACTCTGTTTCAACATGTCGAAAAGAGGACGTACAATCAACAGCCAATCACGCGAATTGGTTGTGAAGTTAACCGAATACTTCGAACGCGAATCAGTTAATGGTGGACCATTATTACCCGTAACTCAAGTGCAAGATCACGTAGCATAAGCACTTGGAATCGGCAAAAAAACTATTCGAACCATTTTGAAGGAAAAGTATGGGTCTTCCGGTACTGAAGAAAATGTGTTACATACGCTTAAGAAGTGGAAGAAAAGCAAGCCTGTAACAGGTATTGACACATTTGACGCAGATGCTATTCGAAACCACGTATATGCTTATTACACGAGAAGTGAGTACCCAACTGTAAGTAAGTTGGTGGTATCACTAAGAGAGGCTGGCCTGTTTAGTGGCAGTGCAACCTCTTTAATAACAATAATGAAGCAAATTGGTTTCAAATACAAGAAAACCGACAAGAGGAAAATTATGATGGAACGATATGATATAATTTTGCACAGAGTATCATTCTTGAGGCAAATGAACAAAATTACAAATTGGGATAATGTCATATTTATCGATGAAACTTGGCTGAACTCGAATCATACCGTGCCACAGTCATGGACGGATGATACCAAGGCATCTTGTTCAAAAGTGCCAATGTGTAAGGGTGGACGCCTAATAATCTGCCATGCCGGATCAGCCGGGGGAGGTTTTGTCCAGAAGTACAAATAATACCACGAAGAAATGGATGCAAATAAATTCTTAGAGTGGTTTACTAAGTTGTTAATAAACCTGCCCGAACAGTGCACAATAATTATGGATAATGCACCTCAGATAGACAGACAGACAGATAATGTACCATTCAGTTCAAATAGATAAGGCACCTACTCAAGCAAGCAAAAAGGCACATTTAGTGGCGTGGTTATAAAGAAAAGGCGTAGAAGCTGACATGAATTTATTGAAAGCTGAAATCTGCTGGAATTAGTAAAACAAAATAAACCTGCAAAATTAAGATTTAAAATCGATGGTTACAAATTGATAAGAACGCCGCCGTACCATTGTCAGTACAATGCTATTGAATTAATCTGAGCTCAGGTCAAAGGATACGCAGCACGTCATAATACAAAGCCACCATTCTCCACTAAGAATATGATGACATTGTTAAAAGAAGCTTGTGATAAAATAACTAAAGAAGATTGGGCAAAAGTGGTAGAAAAGACGCGAAAAATAATAAAGGAAGATTATGATAGAGACGTCAATATTGATAATATTATAGAAAATGAAATAATTATATATACAGGCGACGATAGCTCATCTGGCTCGTCATCAGAAGAAAATGATTGATTTCACTTTTCTTGATTTTGTTGTGATTGAGCTAAATTTTTAAATTAAAGACAAATTGACATTTCTTTCCATTGTATAATTTCAAATTGCCTATAACATTAAAGTTTAAGTTATATGTTCTAATTATAACTTAAATCCAATGCACTTTGTGATATATAGTCAAATCAATCAAATACTCTACAAGCTTGAATCGATTTATCGTAAGTATCGTGCAACGAGTCGTATGGTTAATCACTAGTTACGTCACCATGACAAATGTCAAAACGGGCTTCTTATTTTGTGACGACTGTAGTTACGCCATCATGACAAATGTCAAAACGGGCTTCTTATTTTGTGACGACTATAAACTGTGCCTCGTCTTACTGAGGTACAAGTTACAATTTACAAATATAAAGCTGGATACTCACAAAAACATAAACTTCATGGTTAAAAAAATGCTGTTACTAGCTTTTTACTTGTAAATTGTAACTTGTAAAGACAGGCGGACTGTATTCCCACAGCAAAGTTTGAGCTTTTAGACAGAAGTGCAATGTTCTTACCTTAAGCATACTGCAAGTCTTTCTTTTGAAGATATACATTGACACATGTTTGTATTTTGTTTCTCAATATCTCTTTGAAGTAAACTGTGAAGTGCGTCGAAAACTTCTCTTGAGATTTTAAAATACTCATGAAACTTCTTTTCTGAGAGATCTTCCAAAATATTATATTCTTCACGGTCTTTCCAATTTTTAAAATGATTTTCTACCCAAATGGATCTTCTTCTAGAGCGTGCAAGAATCATATGCACATCAAATTCAAAATCGGATCGTCATCAGATGAGCTATCCAATAAATCTAGCAGGCAAACATGAGCCATAGTTAAATCACTCTGTATATTGGTTCAACACAGGACACGCGCGGTCGTGACGAAAGCTTACAATTATCGTGTCTTCGTCGTCTGTGTTGGCCTAATATATATTAATTTAAAATCTTAAGATAAAATATAGTATCTTAGCCGTGTGTAAAAAGTAAAGTAATTTAAATCTTTATGTATTATAAACCAAACAGATCAGAGTTGACATTAAAAGAGTATGTATACTCTGAGATTACCAATCAACAAATACACTAATTTAAAAAAAAAAAAATAGTTTTAAAAAACTAAAAAACACGCTTCCTATAGAAAATCAAACTAAAACATAGAAAATAAATTTCAAAAAATAGCGTGGAGTGCTTTTTACTATTGACAACAGGCACCATACGCTTTTTTTCAAAGTAGTTTAGTTTTTTAAAACTATATTTTATTTTATTTTGTCACAATGTGTATCTTTATGACTAGTTAGGATATTTCAATCTTTTAATCCAAGCAAAATGATCAATATTCATATTCATCATTAAAGGCAATATTCATATTAGAGGTAAAAATTTTTTCAGAGTTCGTTTCAAAGTCACGTAGTTTGTATACGATTGTCAGAAAAAGATGATGGCATAGAAACCTTCTTAAATGACTGGGGCACATTTCTCATTTAAATAATACAAAATAATGTGTCGTAGTAGTAGCGGAAAACACAAAAACAATATTTAAATTGTTAGCTAATTTATTCCGTGTGGTGACGGATTAAGAATACAGAGTGTCACCGACCTTATTCTGTCCGTGGGTGTCGTAAGAGCCGACTAAGGGAGAAAACTACGCAGAATAACAGCACTGCAGAGAGAAGGAGAACTTGACACAAGCCCTTTACCAACCCGTCTGGACAGCGTGGTATAGTAGGCCAAAACTTCCTTTCCAAGGAGAGGCCTATGTCCATGGCAGTGGACTGCAGCAGTTGTTGATTATGTGATAAAATTGTTAGCATACGAAGGAACCTGTGAACCGTACAGTGCCGGAAAGGGAAGTGTGATAATGTGTCTCATAACGGTGTCTCATGCGGTTCACCAGATGGCAAGTAACCATAGCCGCCCATGAACGTCTGCAACTCAAGAGTCACAAAAGCGTTGTATTTTTTTTTCCTTATTGTTAACAATAAGTCATTTTCATTTACAAATATCTTTCCTTTAAACTTTTAAAACGTATAATCTTTCGATTTGGTCACTGGCAGTGACAAACCATGCCTAAATAAGCTTTATCCACGAATCCTTTTTTGATGTAAGATTCTGTCATTGATTCACCCATTAATGAATTGTTAGGTTGGCGAAACGTTCGTAGTGGAAAGGTTCTGTTGTTGCTTCGGTCTTGAATGAAACGTTTTGTTGTCGAATCGTTCGTGTTTGAAAGATTCTGCCGTTGAACAACTCATAAACGAACCATTCTGTCGGCGACCCATTCGGCAGAGAAACGTTTGTCAGAGTTTAATTTCAGAATCCAAAGTTACAACATTAATTATTGTAAAAATTTACTGTTCATAATATTTTTTTTTTTTTTACTCAATAGTAACTTACTTCAAATTAACTTTATGAATCGAGCGAATTATCCATGGATGACGGGTATGATGTTGTCAGAAAATAATATAAAAATTCGGTCAATGTTACTCAAGGTTTTTTTTTCAAGTAATGTAGAGACAAATGAGAATAATTTGTATTAGTTGTAATACTAATAATAACTATTATTGTTAATTTTGTATCACGTAAGATTGTTTTTTTCAAATAATCAAGAATTTCTTTGATAATTCAAAAACTAATTTGAAAGAACATACAAAATAAACGATTTATTACTATTATTTTTATTAATATAACGTTATTGTGATTATAAACCTCAAACATTTTTGATAAGAAAGGAACAATGGAGATTGGTCGGAAGTGCTCAGTAAGAGAAGGATTATAATTATTAACTTTAGGCAATGGCATGATGTAGGCTTGATGCCAGAGAGAGCTAAGGTTGCGGAGTCGACAGAGAAGTCAATACTGTTGGCTATAATTTCCTAAACATTCAGGATAGTAACTATGACTATTATCTTACTGCCTATTATCATCCTCAGGAGGCACCGGAGAAAAATCTAAATTTACGATATTGGGTCGGCAGTCAAATCTTTTCTTTGCTATGCGAGAATTAGTAAGAATACGATGTGGTTTGAGGTTGAAAGGCAAATGCTGTAACGAACATTAAATCGCAATAAACGTTGTAAAACAAATGGATACCAAAGAATCGTATCAATTTCAATTTGAAACCGACGATGATGGTGCAGACAAAAACTATTCATGCGAAGAAAACGAATTAATTTAAAATCTTAAGTAATTACTGTTATTGAATATTTTTTTTTATGTTCCTAATGTTGATTTGTTGATTTATTAAATGTTAGCTTTAGTATTACGTAATGAAAAGGAGACTAGTTATCATACATACTTTAATGGTTATGTGATGGTTTTGAGATGTTGAATCTGGTGGAGAAGTAAATTAACTGTTGGCAACACTGGTTATAATATACACATTGGCCATGTGAAAACAGCCAAAAATAGTGTAGGTTATGTTATGGTATGATGTATTTTAAAGTAACATCCCTATAGACCTAACATTGTACATATTACCTCTGCAGTGTATGAAATCGGGTTAGAAACTTTTAAACATGGATTTATTTGTAATTAACAGGTAACTTTTGAAATTATGAATTTCCTTATTATCCTTATTCATTTTATTCATTCAGATCTTATTTTCTAAAGTTTTTTTTTAATTCCAGGTATAGAGAAGAAAACGAATATGTGGATGTAGTTGATCAGGAAGCCATACATTTAGAAAATTTAAAAAAGAGAATAGCCGAAAGGAAAACTGCCTATGAAATAAATAAAACTGCAGCAGTCATCACCTTAAAACCATCACCAGTGACACTAGATAGTAATGTTAAAGATCTTGAAACAGATAAATTACCTAAAGCAGATCAAAATACTAAAAGCAATGTACATCAAATTGAGAAAGAAAATAAAAAAGCCAAACAGTTAGAATACAAAGTTTTAGGTGTAAATGACTTTGAGAAAAAAGTTAAAGTAAGTAATATTCATTTCTTCCTCAGTCATGATGTGTTTAGTATTCTCTACTTTTACGTTATTATTGTCAGTTTACAATTTATATGACACCAGCTGTACCCTGCCTTACTTTATTAGGACACATTGAAATTGTGAAGTAACAAGGCTAAAAATAATTTTTGAAGTGGTGTGTATATCATGTCAAAATTTGAGCTCAATCGGTGTAGTACTTTTTGAGTTTTTGAAGTGTACATAAACCTACTTAACATTTTTATGTTTTTATAGTTTGTGATCCTTGTATGTTGTATCGTACGTGTGTATCGTTGTACCTAACTCATGATCCACAATAAAGAATACTCTTACATTTCATCTTATATTCATACATTTCACTATCAATATTTTATGGTAACATTTTTTTTGTACTTCAGGTTACCAGAGTACTGCCTCATTGGCTGTCCCATCCAATTACCATTTCCACCAACTTGAAGAACTTATCATGTCATATAGAAGACCAAGACTGGTTACACAGTACTTTAAAAAGTACACTTTTAAGTGAAGGTGTTTCCAACTTGTTTCCAGTGCAAGAAACAGTTATTCCATTTGTGTTGAATGAACATAAATTCAACAATCCGTTTTGGCCTCAGGATGTCTGTGTATCAGCTCCAACTGGCAGTGGGAAAACACTGTCCTTTGTTTTACCCATAATTCAGGTAAGTTAATTGAAAAATGGATTTTATCTAATTTTTTATGGTAATTCTGCTATTTTATGTTAACGCCTAGACACTGTCATTCCATTGACATGCTATTGAGATGCCATTGAGACACCATTGACATCGGTCAAAATATCTGTATTCTACTAACATAAATTCACAGTGTCCATAGACTGTCAATATAGTAATAAAGGACATCAATGTTGATATCAACAACATTGCCATACCTAGAAAATTAACTATATCATTTTCTTACAAATTTAAAACAGTACGTTTTCCAAACTGTTACAAAGATATCAATGACATTTGTATCAGTGACAATTATTTGGGAAGCCATTTGTCTTACATAGTTAGTAGAATAGGAAAAGTGCAAAATATTCCGATGATATTCCATCAACAGTCTATTGATACAATATTAAATTAGCAGAATTGAGGCCCTGATGTTAAGTAATTACTGCTGCCCATGGACACCTGTAACTTGAGAGTCACAAGTGTGTAGCTGCCCTATGAGTCCCTCCTTGTACAAACACAGAGAGGAGGGTTTGAGCTCTTTACACTCTTTGAAAAACAACAATAGAATTCTTAACATAGGTCTTCTGTGAAGCTGTGGTAACACTCCTATTGAACCGAAACATGACTCTCCCACTGTGAGATCACATACTTGAAAACTATATAATTATTATTTTTCAGATTTTGATGAATGAAATTGGTTGCCATGTAAGAGCTCTAGTAGTTTTACCAGTTCAAGAATTAGCAGCTCAAGTTGCCAAGGTGTTCAAAAAGTATTGTATGAAAACCAGGTTAAGAGTAGCCTTACTAGGTGGATCTACTCCTTTACAACAAGAACAACAAAATATTGTTTGCCATAGTAAGATGTTTTATATTTTATGAGGAAATAGTCACTCCAAATTTTGTTTAGACTTTTCATTTAAATTGTTTATAAATGTAAACTAAGAAGTATCTGTTCAAATGGATATACATTTACATTAAATTTTAGTTTAAATATTTTCACATGAAACATTGCAACTATTAGTGACATGTCTTTGTAAAACATCTATAGTATTCATTTACTAAATGATAAGTTTCCTTACTAATATATCTACTTAATATGTAAAATTATACTAAACATTTTGCTTTATTGTTTATAGCTGCATCATCAGGATGGATCAGTCAAGTAGACATAATAGTTTGTACAGCAGGACGACTGGTAGAACATCTCCAAAACACAGAAGGATTTTCATTAAAATACCTAAAATTTCTAGTAATTGATGAGGCTGACAGGATAATGGACCACATTCAAAATGACTGGTTGTACCATCTAGACAGACATATTAAATTAGAAAAAGAGTTAATGAGAGGCAAACATTCAAACCTTACATGGAGTAGTTTAATTGAGCAAAAGTCTCCTCCTCAGAAGCTACTCTTCTCAGCAACATTATCTCAAGACCCAGAGAAATTAGAACAATGGGGTTTATTTGAACCAAAACTGTTTTCACCAGCTACAGTCAGTAATTATGAGGATGAAGATCAAATAAGACTATATGGCACACCAGATGAATTAGTAGAACAAACTATTACATGTGAAGCAGAACACAAACCACTTGTTCTATATCATTTTCTGGTTGATCAGAAATGGGACAAAGTTTTGTGCTTTACTAATGCTGCTGAGTCAGCACACAGGTTAACTGTACTCTTAAATACCTGGGGATCTGGCAAATTAAAAGTAGCTGAACTCTCTGCAGCATTAGATAAATCAACAAGAGAAAGTGTGTTAAAAAAGTTTACAGCATCAGAGATAAATGTGTAAGTTGAAAATTTGCATGTCACACCAAGATAATTATTTAAAGTTTACATTGTTTCTGTGGATAATAATAGATAAAAAGAAAATATCTCTCTTAAATTAAATCTCTTTATTTACATTTTCATTATTGAAACCGTTGTAAAGCAATTCTTTCGTTACCTTTCACTGAGTGAGTGAGGTTACCGGAGTCCAAATCCCCTCTTCTGCTGACTCGAGCGCGAGGGACTCCAAGGGCAGCAACGCACCGATGACTTCTGAGTTGCAGGTGTCCATGGGCGGCGGTAGTTGCTTACCATCAGGTGACCCGTCTGCTCGTTTGCCCCTTTGTAACATAAAAAAATTGAACTATAAAATTACTTTGTCCAGCTGTGGTATCACTTCAGTCGCATTAGCCCATTTGTGCTGAAGCACAGCATGTGTGATGTGTGTGCATTAATATAAACTAATTTGCAATTTTACTTGCAAAATAAAGTGTAAACTGTACTGTTTACACTTTATTTTGCAAGTATAATTGCAAATTAGTTTACTAGTTGGGTATGCTAGACTAGGTCTTGAGGGTAGACGTTTTTCTGGCGTCTTGAAAAACTGAAAAATATTGAAACTACTTATGATTTTTTTTATACTAAGATCCTTGCTCTAATTTTTTTTAACATTTTATGTATTTAGTTACCATGACGCTTCTAATAATAATACACAACATTGTTACAACATTTTTTTTTGTAGATTAATTGGAACGGATGCACTAGCTAGAGGTATTGACATTCCAGACTGCAATTTTGTTGTTTCCTATGATCCTCCAAGGAACATAAAAACTTATATACATAGGGTAGGACGTACTGGACGTGCTGGTCGAATTGGGCATGCTGTGTCTGTGTTGTTGCCAAATCAAGTTAACATATTTAAGGTAAAAAAACTGTCTTTTGTTGTCACTAAGCTCATGGTGTTCATTTACGATTTTCTTTTATACATAGTAAACAATATTACATTATTTTAGGAAATTATTCAATCTGGTGGAAAAGCACAGTTACCTCAAATAGAAATACAACAGAATATTCTCAATCAACTTTCAGAGAGCTATCAACAAGCAATGAGTGTAACAAAGAAGCAAATTCAATCAGAGATTGGTTCCAAAGTAAAAAAATCTATAGAAATAAAAAGAAGATTGAAATCAAAACCTTTGAAAAGAAAACACAATGCTTAAACATTACAAATTATACTTTTTAATCATTGAATTATTATTTTTACCTTCATTATAGTTTGCTAATATTTATCGGAGGTTTTGACGTACGCTAACTAACATGTGCCGCGGTTGTTCGACCCGTCGAGTGGCCGTCGGATCAGGCCTGATGTTATAATAGGTCTTTACCTATGAAATTGCCGTTTTGTATGCAATAAGTGAAAGTTCTTATTTTTTCAAATTCTGTTATTCGAAGTAATCACCCATGCAATCGACGCATCTTTGCCAACGCATTGGCAGTTTATTGATGCCCTTCTTGTAAAAATCAGCTGGACGGGAGGCAACAAACTCTTCAAAGGCATGTTGCACTGCCTCTCGGGAATTGAATTTTTTACCCACTAAAAAGTTGTCTAAATTTTGGAAAAAGTAATAGTCGGTAGGTGCAAGGTCTGGTGAGTACCAAGCAACCAGCTTTGGTAAATCGGTCGTCCCCACTGCTCCTTCACGACAACGCGCGACCCCATACTGCGCAACAGACAGTCTCCAAGCTGCAAGAGCTGGGGTTGGAAGCTCTCCCTCATCCGCCATACTCACCAGACCTTGCACCTACCTACCTGTAAATAAAAATAAGTACTTTCACTTATTGCATACATAACGGCAATTTCATAGGTAAAGACCTATTATATATATAAATATTTATGTTAGTGGCGGCAGACGAGCAGACGGGCGAGCTATACCTTTGAATTGCCTTACCTTTCCACTAGGTTTGCACTGTCCCCGCCAGCAATTATTGCTGCCATGCTGGCGGGAGAGGAGGGATGGGGCGCAGTGGTCTCTTTCTGTGAAGCTGTAATGCTCCAGAAAGAGACCGCTGAACGGGATCAGGAGAGGGCTGATCCCGAACGTAGAGGACGTCGGTGCCGATAACAGCCGTCGAGGGCGCCGCAGGCCGCCAGAGAGGGGACCTCTGGTGGCAAATTGATTGCTGCGGTAGGGCATGGAATGGCCGGCCTGATTGCATTAAGATGCGATCGGGTCGCCATGCCGCGATTGTTGTGGGAAGTGTTCTTCCCTGGAATAGGGCCTGATTAGGCATAGTGACAATTCGGGTCGGACCTGAAATAACATGGCCCGGGTCCTCCCCAGAGTAAGACACCTGAGGCCGGCCGTCGGGGTGGTTTTTAGTGGAATCACCACATACTCCTGGCTCATAGTCCCCGAGGAGCAGGAGATCCGAAGGGATTTTCCACCCCGTCAACAAAAAAAAAAAAAAAAAGATTTGCACTGTCCATTGTTAAAGGCAAAACAAATCAATCTCAGTACGCAAGTTTTTTTCACCAAACGTCACTTCTATCAAGAATTGTGCAGGAAGTATTGTAATTGAAATGTTTTTAACAAAAAACTTAAATCTTCAAGCTAGTTTTAAATTGTACAGTTGTAATTGTTGTATATGCAGTGACAAAAAACACGCTACGTCGTTTTATGGTGTAAACACCAGAATAGGAACTCATAGGCCCGCTTACAGAATAGGGGCACTATTAGTACAGATTTGACGATACTTGTCTAAACAAAAATATGCTGATGTATGAAGAAACTATTTCATCTCGTAGACTCGACGATGGAGGGCGTAGCGTGCACCATTTAAGCAGCCAGAGCAACCGGGTGAAAGTAATGTAATATCTCATGAACATGTAAATTCCCAAATAAATATATTATTATATAAGTACTACCTTTTGCCCGCGCCTCCGCCCGCGTGTATGTCGGTTACCGCGGTAAATAGTAGCCTACGTCCTTCCTCAGTCAAACTATCTCCATACCAAGTTTCATCTTAATCGGTTCAGCGGTTATTGATTCCTAATACAAAATTCCACCTCTCTTTTCTCCCCCTTAAAGGGTGATTTCTGGTATGAAAACTATCCTATGTCCTTTCCTGGGACTCAAACTATATGTATACCAAAATTTCATCTAAATGGGTTCAGCGGTTTAAGCGTGAAGCGTACAGACAGACAGACACACTTTTGCATCTATAATATTAGTAAGGGTGAAAAAATATGAGAAAGCAAATCCGCCATTAAAAAAATAAGTGCCCAACTTATAGCACGTTAATGTTATCTATCAGTATTGTGACTCGGCCCTGTCCTTGAAATAATTACCTACGTACGTAAACACGCGTTAGGGCTGCCCACCTACAGTATTTTAATATTAACCATCTACTTCAGAGGCGGGTTAAGTGTCACGGGCGCCCTAGGCAAGCTTCTTTTCGGCGCTTCCCGCGTCACCCTAACGCCTTTTTTTTTTTTTTTTTTTTTTTTTTTTTTCGTGCGGAAATCCCCTCGGATACCAACTGTCGGTGGCATGTCGGACTCGAACCGACTAAAACCGCACGCCTTCGCCGGGTACTAATAGCCGGGGAACCAGGTATACCCTAGAAAGGAAGGCCCTGGTGCCCCGACATACTTCGGGTCATCTACAGACGAGTAGACGACCCCCGCCCCGTGTGGGAACCCCATGTTCCCTGTGCTCCCTGGAAGCGAGCGCGCTTCGCAACGCGCTCGCCGCCACCCCGGCCTGCTTCTGCTAGGGTGACAGATGGCCTCACCTGTCACCCCCAGGCCTGCGCTTATGGAGGACGGAGGTCGTTCTGCGACCTCCGGCGCCTGAGTCGCCTGCGCTGCCTGGCCCGTGCCCGGGCCTGGCGGGCCGGGAGAGTTCTAAACCTCTCCCGGTCCCGCTCCGCCGTCTCCTTCGCGAGCATAACTTGCTCGCAGAAGGAGACGGCAGAGTTCCACGCACTCTCGCTCCGCCCGATAGCCGCAGAGAGAACTCCCACTCCGATGGCCGCCACGAGGTCTCGCCTCTGCTCAACCCACGCCGGGCACTCTGCCAGCGTGTGGAGAGCCGTGTCCACGGTCTGGCCATCGCAGTGGTGGCACTCAGGCGTTGGCTCCTTGCGGATCAGACACAGGTGATCTCCGAAACATCCCTTCCCAGTGATCACCTGCGTCAATCGGTATGAGAGGGTCCCGTGACGCCTCTCGAGCCAATCCTCCATAAGTCACCCTAACGCCTAAGGCCCAAACTATATTATAAACAATTACTAGTTGAAGCTACTATGTGATAGCGATTACTCCGAATCAAATTTTAGTCGGCATTTCTTGACAACCGTCATAGCGTCGTCAAGGTATATAAGGGCTCGTGCATCCTGCAAGCGATGTCGCGCGAATTGGGACGCGCTGATTCGCGGCGACTTGATAGAACGTATGGAACTAAACGGCACAGTACATCGTGTCCGCGACTGGTGACCAGTAGTCGCGCGACGTAGTCTGACCAAAACCAGGTGCAATAATTAACTTAACAAAATAAAACACAATAATACTTATAACAAATAGTACAAACTTAGTGAAATAAAAATTTACTAAATATTTAAATAACAAAATAATGGCTAAACAGATTAAATATATATCAATGATATATTATGAATACATTTAGTAATAATCATTTCCCTCTCTCTCTCTTCTATGCTGTGCCCGCCAGGGTCCATAATTGATACCTAGCTTAAGTTTTTACCAACTGTAAAATTTACATTATGGAAGCAATAAAGTATTGAGTATTGACTTGTAGGTGGTCGCCTCGGCTTCGCACAGTGTAATGTAGATACTAACGTGATGTCAGTGTGGAGTAATGAATTAAATTATTTTTATGACTAGCGATCAGCCCCGGCTTCGCACGGGTGCAGTGTATCTATCACGCGGTGGAGCCGGCACCCGCACGGTGAAACCATGGAACGCTAAGAAATAAGTCTCCTCTTTTAGCATTAGCATTAGCATGTAAAAACTACTATTTAACAAAAGAACTTTTTTCTATGATTTTGTTTAAAACAATAGTATAAAATGTTTGTCTTTGACTATGATTAATTTGTTGATAATATGTGTTGTTGTTTTTTTCCTTCTAAATTAAATATTATAATCATTTATATAAATGTATCATCAGCCTATCGCAATCCACTGCTGGACATAGGCCTCTCCCATTGCACGACACTTAGATCGATTTTGGGCTTCCAGCTCCTGCCAGCCATGATGATGATGATGATATAAATGTATATTTATCAAATCATAAAGCACGTACTGTGTGACCCACTGACCTCACACTTCGTCTATATTTAGGAAGAGTGAAAGAATGTGCCACAAATGCGATATTGCGTTTCTACCTTGTGGTTATTATGTTTTTAGTTTTGCAATATTTAGGAAAGTAAAATTCGTTCCCTCTTGGCGGTTTAATAAAACAACAACCATAATGACACGAACACGTACTCATATTTTAGGATGTGCTTAATTTTAGTTCCTGTCCGTTATTTTCTTTCGGAGCAATTTTTTTTTCGGAATGAAACGAGGACTTTTTACTTTACGCAAATTACGCAAGACACACTACTCCAAGCAAAATTTAATATTGATCGCCAAACTAAGAATAAAAGTAAAAAAGAAACATAATTTTGTATTTGTAATACTTATTATACTTGCTTTTTTATCTTTTATATTTATCGATGCATGCTCTTTGGTTATGATCTAATGAATCGGTTTCAATTTGACATGTCAATCTTAATACAGCATATTTGTCTATAGTATACAATTTTAGTGAAGGAAGCACCACGAAGCAAGTTTTCGATTTGTCGGTTTTATTTCCCGAATAATCATTCAAATGTTTTTTCTTCACCAATTACACGTGATAAATTGTTAATTCTACCTTAATTTGGCTTTTGTAGTTTTTCTGTTGTTATTTTGTAGATTGAACACCAGACAAAATGGCTAGTGTATCCTATCAAATTGCAAATCTTCTCGAGAAGGTAAGCCGGTGTTCTGTATAGGATGTGTTTTCCACTTCGTCTGTTTAATATTATTATTTATATTAATTTTCTTTAGATGACGTCTACCGATAAAGACTTCAGGTTTATGGCAACTAATGATTTAATGACTGAGTTACAAAAGGACAGCATAAAGCTTGATGATGATTCTGAAAGGAAGGTTGTAAAAATGCTGCTTCGTCTCCTGGAGGATAAGAATGGGGAAGTGCAAAATTTAGCAGTGAAATGGTATCAAAATTTAAAAGAATTTTATTTTTTCTTGTACCTAATGATTGATTATTATTTAAAATGAAATTATTTTCAGCCTTGGTCCTCTTGTCAACAAAGTCAAAGAATATCAAGTCGAAGGTATTGTTGATACTCTGTGTGCAAACATGCTCTCAGATACAGAACAACTAAGAGATATTAGCAGCATTGGCTTGAAGACTGTCATATCGGAACTTCCCTTAGGCTCTAACACATTGGCTGCAAATGTATGTAAGAAAATAACTGGCAAACTGAGCAGTGCTATTGAGAAGGTATTCTTATTTGAATTGATGATATGACTTAAACAAATATTTCTATGTATGCTGTAGTATTGTATACTGACTGTGTGAAATACAAAAGTGTCTGTGTCAACAGAAGTTATCTCTGTCTAATTTATACTATAGAAGGTTTTATGTCATAAAATTCTCATAATTACCTTGAAAAATATTGAGTATAAATAATGTTCACTTCAATGTTAACACTCAAGAAAACATTGAAATCCAGCTTACCAGGCAATGAATACACAACATCAATATTTTCTTCTGGCATATTAGAAACATTTTTGAGCAATTAATAGACCAAAGTCCCATTAGATGTATTTGATTGTATATTGTAACCAAAAACATTATGAAGAAAAACAAATCCCTATGGCATACATGTCACATGAGACTTGTAAATAACATTTGCCATTTTGCTATTTTCTTTACAAAAATTGCTTTCTTAAAGAGGATCTTTTTACAGCAAGAAGATGTATCTGTTCAACTGGAGGCTCTTGATATACTAGCTGATCTGCTGAGTAGGTTTGGTGGTTTGTTGATCTCATTCCATCCTATGTTGCTCAATTCACTGCTGCCTCAGTTGGCTTCTCCCCGTCAGGTATAAATACACCATTTTGATAATTATTTCATTTTAATGTAAATTACAATTCATTATTCTAATTTATTAACAATATAGTTACTAATTTTCATCACATCTGATGTTCTCAAGTAATATGGGTTTGCATAATTGAATAAACTAATCTAAGTAGTATAGTATTGTAAATGCTTGTATTTTAAGTGTGGATATTATTTGAGTGTGCAGTTAGTAAACAATTATGTCTGATGATTTCTTGTACAGGCTGTCCGCAAACGCACCATAGTTGCATTATCCCACTTGGTCATGTCATGCAATGCAGCTCTCTACAACAAACTCATTGATCATCTATTGGAAGGTCTAAGCTCTTCAACATCTTCTAGTGTTAGCCGAACTCATATACAGTGTATTGCTTCTATTTGGTAAGTATTGTCTTGCAGATTACATTAATTGTGTTGTGAATAATTTCCAAACCCAGTAGTATTTAACACACTTAGTAATTGCAATACTTTTACAAGTGCATTTATATTTTAGTCGGCAAGCTGGCCATAGATTCGGTGAACAGTTATGGCGTGTTGCACCACAAGTTTTAGAATACTCAACCGATAGTGATGAAGAACTTCGTGAGCATTGTCTGCAAGCACTTGAAGCTTTTGTACTTAAGTGTCCTAAGGAGGTCCAACCTCATATTCCAACAGTAAGTATTAACTTACCTAAAGTATTTATTTACCTTTTGAATTTAGCCTATGAAGGTACTATTATTATAAAAGTTGCACAAATTCTGAAATGAGTGAATCAAATTAAATCTTTGCCATTTTTATGTAAAGTCAACAAGGAGGATTCAATATCATAATACAAAATGCACTTAATTTGTGCAGATAATCGATCTTTGTCTCAAAATGATCACATATGACCCTAACTATAACTATGAAGATGAAGAGGAAGATGGCGGAGGTGAGGATGAAGAAATGGAAGACGAATCTTTTACACCTGATGCAGATCCCGAGTCTGACTCTGAAGAATATTCCGATGATGATGATATGTCTTGGAAGGTAAGTTTTATTCACCCTAGTGGACTATTTATTTTTGGATTCACATAATCTGTCCGCAACTTTTGCATAGTTTAGGTTTGTCCCACTCACATGTTAGGTATTGCCGTAATAATTGAACATAGAAAATTAAAGGTGGGAAAATTGAAATACTATAAATATATATTGCTTAAACAAATGAATTGGGTAATTATGGCATCAGGTATGCAGCCAATCAATCCAGATCAATTCAACAAATCTGCAACTTGGCTGTTGCCGGGAACCCCTCTAACCCTTAAGTAACGAATACATTATGACCAGGTGAGGCGTGCGGCTGCAAAGTGTCTAGAATCAGTTATCGCAACGCGTCACGAACTTCTTGCCGAAATGTATGTCAATGTCTCACCTGCTTTAATCGCCAGATTTAAAGGTATTTATTAATATATTATGAATTGTGAATAACTTAAGTATAAATTTTAATAACATATTATAATGTTATTTATTGTTTATTTTATAGAACGGGAAGAGAACGTGAAATGCGATATTCTCAGTGCCTACACAGCCTTATTGAGAGCAACTCGGCCACCACCAGCTTTGCAAATGGCAATCCCAACTGACAATTCTCCTCAAGCTTTATTGTTGCAAAGGGTAAACCTTATCTTTCATTTATTTTTTTACTATAATTAATGTACTTGGTCTTTAGCAATACTCTATTGCTTAGTATTTTTTAACATTAAATTGTGATCTGAAATCATTTCTACAATTATGTATAGCAGATATTGCTTGGTGTTTGATGTAAGTATGTAAGTTCGAAGTAACATAAGTTTTGTTTTTTATTTCATTGACCTATTGGTTTTATAAACTAAGCTATTTTTTTCTAGTAGAATGAAATACTTGATTTTCAGTTCATTTCAACAGGAGAATGTATAAATGAAAATGATATTTTTAAATGTGCTTCTAGCATCTTGCGCTCAAACTGACTTGAAGTTACCGAACGTTTGTGCAGGTGTCCGGCGTAGTGCGTGGCGCACTGCGGGTGATCCGCGGTCGCAGTGTTCGCGCACGCGGCTGTGCGCTGGCGCTGCTGCGCGAGCTGCTGGCGGCCGCGCCCGGCTGCCTCGTCGACCACGCCGCCAGGGTCATCCGCGCGCTTACCCCTGCTCTCACGTGAGTTACGCTCTTAGCTAAACCTTACATTTATTTCATTTTAAATATATATATGTACTAAATGTACATTTAGAGTCATTAATGATAGTTTTAAATTCCTTTTTGACTTACTTGATCGCGTTAGTTAGAGATATCACTTTTGTTGTATGCTGCAATAATTTGTAAACTGAAGATTATTGACAACCAGGCTAATAGTTAATGTTATAGGATTTCAACAGGCCAATACTTATTTGTTAAGAGACATCATAAATAAATGTTGAAGTGCTATTGTGGGTCTGTCTTGTGCAACTAAATAGTTTGGTAGTGTTTGTAAAATATTGAGTTGTAAATGTACTATTCCTTTAATACAGATGTTTAAATATGTTTTTGCATGTCTATTGATAAAAGGTTGTTATTGAAAATTGTAATGATATTTAGGACCTTATGGCTACACAAAAAAGCCTACAAATACATGAAAATAATGCTCTAACAATTTTGGGGCAATTTTGTTTGTGTAAAAATTTGCTTATTAAATGCAAAATAAAAAAAACAAAAAAAAAAAGCAAAATCAAATTGCATAATAAAATTTACTTGAAACTCTATACCTAGAAATGTGTACAGATCAGAAAAGCCATAACTTTGAGAAGACGGTTATAACATTATATTTTCAAGTTATTTCAACTTTGATTATAAATTCCTACCACCCATAACAGGCTGTGTGTGTACATTATTAACTTTTCTAAACATAGAAATGCCTATAATTTTCAATTCCAATTGTTATTTACCTTTACCTACAGCTTTTCATGATTTGCCTAATCGGTTTGTGCCTTTCATGGCTATCCATTGAGTAGGTCAGTTGGAAAGCGCAACAAATAAACAAATTTACTTTCATTATAATATTATTTAAGATTAATAAAATGTATAATACAGGGACAAAAGCACAGCATCGTCAATGAAGATCGAGACGCTAGTGTTTGTAGTCTGCTTGGTCCGCGGACACCCTCCAGAGACAATGAGACCGCACGTGGCGGCGCTGCTGCCGGCAGTACTGGGCTGTGTGCACGACCCTTTCTACAAGGTCACTGCTGAAGCTCTGCGAGTACTGCAAACGCTTGTCAAAGTTATGCGTCCGCTGGGTATGCTACTCTAAAATTATTTAATGGCTAGCTTGTTCCCGCACTGAAGCTTAGTATCCAATTTATTTTCTCCCTTTACCCTAAGTTCTTTACCATAGCCCAGGCAATATTATGTAAAATGAGATCAGAATTCACTCCTTCATATAAATGTAATTCCTGCAGATGTTATTGGATTTTTTATTTAATTTAGTTTTTTTAAACAATTTTTAATAACTGTTGATAAGTTTGATGGAATTACGATATTGTAAAATTTGCGGGGTTTGTTTTCCATAAATTTTGAAACTCATTTGTTTATGCTGTATGGAACAAATTTCCTAACGTTGCGTCGATTGATTAACGTTAAAATTCCATAGATTACACTGGGAACATAGAAACGGACGACATTTATGTCGAGCCACCAGCAGAAGAGTTACAACAGTTCATTCCTGCGATATATGAGTGCACTTTAGTTCGCCTCCGTGCTACTGACATGGACCAGGAAGTTAAAGAGCGTGCGATCGCCGCTTGCGGTCAACTTCTCTGTCACTTCGGTGATTTTTTACAAGTATGATTTTTTTCTTCTTGTGTGTTCAAATTGTATAGTATCTTATAAATAATAAGATTTATAGATTTTTCATTCTCAGCACGGCATACTCGTTATGTTAATTCATGGTTTATGATGAAAGCATTACTTTTGATATAATCATAATACACAATGATGATATAATCCTATATACCTAATTAAGGTGTATTTTGTATTTTAAATGTCAATGTCGTATAAAATATATTTTTCCTAAATATGTGGTATCTCCCATCCTCATTAGAACCTGTACAACAAGATTTTTATATCTATCAAGGTTTGAGAAATATGATTAAAAAAATGAAAAAGATTTTTTTTGTTATGATAACAATTAGTTATTCTAAAGACTTAGAATTTCAACTAAAGTCTGTACGCATTTATTTGTCTAGTAAATTGAGTAGAATTAATGGTTATTGTTTCTTAAACAAACTTCATTTTAAAATGTACCTTTTAACAGCAATTGTTTTCTTTTCCAGCATGAGTTGCCTGTGTGCTTACCCATATTTTTGGAGCGACTACGCAATGAGATTACTCGTTTGACTACGGTTAAGGCTCTAACTAAGGTTGCGTCGTCACCTCTGAGAATTGATCTAAGACCTATTTTAGTGAGTATTTGTTAGTTTGTCCATTAGTAAGTTTTCCTCTTATAAATATGTAAGACCTGACCAGTTCATGCAAAACTACTCAGTATAATGCCGAGGGTTTGGCGGGAAGCTAAGTTTTTCCGGGCTTTCTAAATCATACGCTGCCTGTGATATGAGACACGGTGTTTCTAGCTGTTTAATTTGAGTGGTATGGAGTTCTGTAAAAATACCAAACAATAAAAGCGTTTGGTTATTTTTACAGTTCTGTAGAAATACTTGTACTAAATCGTATTAGTAAAACAATTATGATAATAAACATTAGTTAGAAGCTTACTGAATTAAGATTCTAATTAATGTATATTATTAAAATTGTGTACTGATGCAACAACAAACCTCCTTTCTCAGGAGAGGCCTATGTAGAGCAGTGGACTAGTAAAGGCCGATGATGTACTGACGCAAAAAAAATTGACCCTTGAATATATCGACGTAAACTTTATCATGCCTAGATACCCTTGAGCATCTACAAAATACGTTAGTTACAAATTACATAATATGTACTATAATTTATATGTGCCATAATGCGAGTCAAGCTTCGTGAATCTTTATAGACTATTAAATTTTAACACAGTCCACTGTTAACACAGTTCTTTACTGTTTCATTACTCTGTTTTTGTTTCAGACGGATGCCGTGCCTATCTTAGGTTCGTTCCTTAGAAAAAATCAGAGAGCATTAAAATTGTCAACTTTGGTATTGCTGGACACTCTTGTACAGAACTATAGTAATGCTATAAGCATAGAGCTTCTAAGTAAGGTATGTTGTAATGGCATTTCATGTTTTATTACGAGGATGTCATTATTTAAGCCAGAAATTGATTTGTAGAATCAAAATTACACCACAGAATTGAAAACAATCGTGCATAATTTTACTTGGGCCTGTTCGTTTCCATACTGGCATCATTAATAAGTGGACTGAATTTTGCAATATTGTAGAAACGATAATACGTTCGACAGATATAAGTGGCGTCTGGGTATGAACAAGAATGGAAGTGAAACTGTCATGTGTGTTGTAGGTGTTGATGGAGGTACCGGCGCTGGTGTGCGAGGCGGACCTGCACTGCGCGCAGACGGCTCTGACGCTGGTGCGGGGCGCGTGCTTGCGCTGTCCCGCAGCGCTTACTCACGAAGCACGAGCGGCACTCACGCCAAACATACTTGCGCTAGCCAAGTCGCCATTACTACAAGGTACGTACAAACTGATGAATTAAGTTGCATTTAGTTGTTTCTTAAAATCCATAGTAGGCAGTTTTGTGTTTTTAATAGGCGTATAATGATTTCATATGCTAAAATATAGGTAAGTATTATGTAAAAAAGCAATAAAGTTCTAATATTGATTTTTCACAGACGGTAACTTTATTTACACTTAATATAACTGATGTTATGAATATTATGAGTAGTAGGCAACCTTGTATCTTGTGGTGAACCCTAAAATAATTAAATAGAAATGTACGAAGCGTGGTTTGGGTCCGTATATTCGGCCGCTCGTTTCGTTTATTTTTTTTGCTGATTTGCGTCAACAAATATACAGGCCAAAATGGGAGTCGTCAAGACCGGGTGCGATAAAATGTTTTCATTACTGCTAGTCTTTTGTTATGGTAAAGGGGGCAAATAATCAAACGGATGACCTGATGGCAAGTGACTACCACCGCCTATAGACACCTGCAACTCAAGAGTCACAAGTGCGTTGCCACACTTTGAGTCAGCCGCGAAAATCAAGGGGAGGGGAGAGGGTTTAGGGCTCCGGTAACCTCACCTACTCGGTGAAAAGCAACGAAGGTATCACTCCGGTCGAGCCGTCCATTTTTTTTTAAGGAGGTAACTTCCGCATTTGGAATATATTCCTGTGTCGCGGAGGACTTTACAAACATACATGATATGGACACAAAGAACACCGTGTTGTTCCATGTGGGGATCGAACCCACAAAATTCAGCGCAGTAGGAAGTGCCGAGGTGACCGCTTAAACCATAACGCCAATTGCTGAAGCACGGCTAATTGGTTAAGTGGCTTTGGATTTTAACGTGGTGTATTTTGTCTGTGCAAGGCGGTGCTTTGAAGGCTATGTTAGGCGTGCTGAGCGCCCTGGTGAAGGCCGACGTGGCGGGCTGCTCTCGACGGGAACTATTGGAACTGTTGGTGGCGCCCGTACATCGCTTACATGAACACAATGCATCTGCACATCATATTAAACAGGTATTATACTTATTATTTTTAAAGTGTAATCCTTTGATTTAACTACTGCTTTGCGTTGCCATATATAGTTTTTTTTTACGGAGACGTACCGTAGTTGATTTCAATTTATAAGTGTACAATCCGGTACAATTTAGGCGGATCTCCTTTAACTACATATTATTGACTCTAACACAGGTTTAAGATATATTGACACTGGTAATTAGAACATATTGTAATAACATTAATCAATTCAACAAACCCGTGACTTACAGCTTTCATCATTCGGTTTAATGCAAATGTTTAATCCTTCAGTCTAATCAATATTAAGAAACTTTATTAGAAATGTAGTAAGAGAGAGAGTAGCAAGTAAGAATGATTTATTAAAGTTGTCTTCGCAGGCGTTCCATTCGCTGGCGAAATGTGTAGCGGCTGTAGTAGTCGAGGGAGGGGAAGATGCACTAGATGTAGTCCGGGGCTTCTTGCGTGACGCTGCACAACCCACTTCTGACGCACATCACATGTTCGCGTTACTTGCGCTTGCTGAGATCGGCCGCCATTTGTAAGTATATCGTTTTATACAGATTTAAATAAATATTCCTTAAACAGAATATGTTATTGAATGACTGTTCGTGGATGATTTTATTAAAGATCTTATTGCATATTTCGCAGAGATTTAAGTTCCATACCGAACTTGAAAGAAGTACTATTAAGTTCATTTACGCCGTCATCCGAGGAAGTGAAATCTGCAGCTAGCTATGCACTTGGCTCGGTAGCGGTAGGCAATTTGCCTGAATTCCTACCATTTATTCTCGGAGAAATCGAGGCACAACCTAAACGACAATACCTACTATTACACTCATTGAGGGAGGTAAGGAAAGTTTTATAAAATCAGCCATTCAAGTTCTGATACGTTTATCTTAAAAGCCCGTTGGTTTTCTCACATATTTATATTTAATTGTAATTTTTAGATAATTTCTTGTGAATCCTGCACTCCTGAGGGCGTAGAGGCTCTGAGGCCTTTTATACCCGAGATATGGGTACAACTGTCTAAGCACTGCCAATGTGCGGAGGAAGGATCTCGTAATGTGGTGAGTATGATTTATAGATTTTGTATGTATAATTAATATACAAATTTGTTTAAACCAATATTTCATATTTCAGGTTGCTGAATGCTTAGGAAAATTATGTTTACTAGAACCAAAAGACTTATTGCCACATCTGAAGGAATTCCTGAAGTCACCGGAACCGCTTACAAGGACGACTGCCGTCACAGCTGTTAAATTTACTATTTCTGATCAGGTTTGTGTAATAAAACATCTTAACTTACTTATCGAGGAAACTAAAAGGCGGAAATTAAAATGACATTATACATATTATGACAGATAGTGCACAAAGCTTGTAAAGCGCCTAATGTTTTTGTTTTACTCAATGGTTATTACAAACAATACTGCTACTAAAAATAAATAGTAAGTTGTCACAAGACCATTCAGTGCTTGTTTAAATAAATATTATAATATACACGATGATTTTGAAAGCGTTTTGGAAAAGAAAATTTTGAGTTATTTATCAGTAACAGAAGCTATATATAACGTTAATTTAATAAAATATATATATTTTTTATCATCAAAGTCGATATTCATATCGATTACAGAGAAAAGGTGAGAACCAGTAGTAGGGCTTTTCAATCGCAAGTAGGTAAATACTACGAATAGAAATACTATACTGACGCGCAAGGTCAAGGACGTTTAAATTATTATTCGCCGGAGTGTAGTGCGTGCATACCTGGACAATGAGTTTAGTGATCGGTGGATAGGTCGAGGAGGGCCAGTGCCTTGGCCACCTAGAAGCCCGGACTTAACGCCCCTGGATTTTTTCTTATGGTCGGAAATAAAAATACTTGTTTATACACGGGAATATGAAAGCCGTGATAATTTACGCATTGCGATAGTGGACGCTTTTGATAAAGTGAAAACTGATAGAGACACATTAAGAAAATTAAAAAACAATTGCATTAAACGTGGACGTTTGTGTATTGAATGCAGCGGACTCCATTTTGAGCAGTTGCTTCGATACAGAGAAGTGTAAATACTGTAAATAGGTATGTAAGTTAATTATTCTGTAGATAGCTCCGATTTTTTAAATACGCTTGAAATATTTATACCTACAGTCCGTTGATAAATTGATTTGTCGTGAAAAGAACAATCGTGGTTAATAATCGAAAAGAAGTTTAAATAAAATAAAGTATGAAGCCCGTGTAAAGTATGAAGGACAAATTGAAGTCTATCTACGTAAGTACTCGCTAGCTCGCGCCTATAGGTATACTTTTATCAGCTGCTGTTAGCGTCAGCGGTGCGCAGCGGCCGCCGAAACGCCCACGGACGTGTTTCATTCATATAAGATAATGAATGAATGATCAGTCCATTACTACTTTCCAAGTCGATCGACTAAAAATGAATATTAAAACTGAAACTTTTTTTTAGACAACATTACAATTGATTTAATCATTTTTATTGGTACTATAGATGATTCCAAATTAAAATGTTTCGTTTCCAAAACGCCTAAAAAATCACCGTGTATATTCTATATGTCTTCAAAGGTAAAAAATACTTGAGATTTTGTGTAAACCTTAATCCTTTTGCAGTCTTTTCACTATAGATGGTTTTAAGACTTCATGTACCCAAGCATTGGTACGGACAGATAGGCGTTCATATGTATTGTAGATCACATCACAGATCGTTATGCCAAGCTTTGTTCCTAGCTAACGGCACGTCCAAAAATGCTGCCGAACTGTACATTCTACACCAAAGCAAAACGTAAATTCATGATGTTTCCTATTCATATATCAAGTGATGGCGATGGAAATTTTGTTGCGTTGAACGATGATCGAGAGCTGCGGCCGGTATAAGATCGAATAATTCCTCGGAGGACTCCCCATGATACAAGCGTTAGAGAATGCAGATTGAAGCAATATTAAAGTTCTTCTTCATTTTTCCTTTTCTGTTCAATCTATACTATGCGCTCCCACTTGAGATCAGTATGTCAAAAAAATCGTGACACTTAAAAGCCTACTACTAATGTGTCCGAGAATTTTATAAAAAAAAGCTAGCAGAAATGTCCTCATGATCTCGTCACCGCGGATATTATTATTGTATATACTTATTTATACTATAGATATTATTATATATATTTTATTCTGAATGTGTATGACATAAATATGTATTTGTGTATTCGTCTATGTACTTTTAAATAGCATTATTAATTGTAATTTTTGTATTCATAAATGTTTAGTCCATAAGCTTCTTTTCTACTTTTCATTAGACATATTGTCGGGGATAGTGCAAATCCGCGTAACTAGCATTACGATATGTACCTGCCATGTTCCATGCTGAACTGTCTTAAGGTTGACTGGTAGATAAGTCCGTCTCGTGCAAATTGCAATGCAGGAAGTGTGTAAGTGTAAAAAATAAAATAAATAAATACAGTGGTCATGAATAAATCGCCTCCAATCTGAAACTTTCGTTAGGCAAATGTCGATTTCAGAAGCAATTTTGTTGTAGCTCTAGATGACTTTTTCTAAGAAATATTGATAGACTCGGAGTCAGAGCATGCACCATCGACAACGTCTGTCTGTAAGGAAACTAGTGACCCATTTACACAAATTCTTGGGAGGCCTATGGAAAGGGAGCTTCGTGAAAAACGCTTTGTGCCAGACACGACCGAAGGCCTTCGCTATGTCAAAACAAACCGAACAGGCCTCTACTTTGGTATATACACCGGAGGAACCAGCAGTGGATGATGGATTCCATTATTTTCGAGAACAAGTAAATTATTGCTATAGTCTTATAGTTGGACGGATCTGAGCCGTCACCTTTTTTAGGGACCGGGTGCACTAAAGCCATCTTCCATGAGTGTGAGTATGTCAGTCCATTCAGTCCATGAAAAAAGCGTTAAAACCGCATTATACTTTAGACCAAAAGTCTTCTGCACAGTCTACTCGCCTTAGTTACGTGTTGATGGTGCATTTGTTTAACTATATAATTTAGGTTTCATTTGAAATTCACCCATATCTTTGAAAACACCTTGGGCTAAGTTGGTGTAAGCCTAATTAGACGAAATAAATTCACCGCATATCTATACTAATATTATAAAGCTGAAGAGTTTGTTTGTTTGTTTGTTAGTTTGTTTGTTTGAACGCGCTAATCTCAGGAACTACTGGTCCGATTTGAAAAATTCTTTCAGTGTTAGATAGCCCATTTATCGAGGAAGGCTATAGGCTATATATCATCACGCTAAGACCAATAGGAGCGGAGCACCAATGAAGAATGTTTCAAAAACGGAGAAAATTTATTACTATGAGAGACGCAGACGAAGTTGCGCGGGTCAGCTAGTCCAGTGATAAGTAAGGAGAATCAATTCGACGACCGAATGGCGTAGTGGCTTGTGTAACGGACTGCTATTCCAAAGGTCGCGGGTTCGATTCCCGCTCAAGTCAAGCATTTGTGTGCATGAACATTTAATGTTTCATTTGGTCTGGATGTTTCTATGTATAATATTTATGTATTTACAAAAAAAAAGTATATGTGTATTTATATCAGTTGTCTAGTACCCATAGTACAAGCTCTGCTTAGTTTGGGACTAGATGGCGTTGTGTGAATGTGGTAGCATATTATTATTATTATTATAATTATGCAAAAAAACCTCCACGTAGATGTTTCAAACCCTGAGGTCTTGTTGGGGTCAAATTAATGTGTAATACCTGCTATATAACATATGACTGAAGGTTTTTTCTCTCTTTTGGACAATAGCCTCAAGCCATCGACCCTCTACTTCGTGGCTGCATGTCAGAGCTACTAGTCCCATTATGCGATCCCGAGCTGGGTGTGAGACGAGTGGCGCTCGTGGCGTTCAACTCTGCGGCTCACAACAAACCTTCGCTCATTCGAGATCTGTTGCCGCACGTCCTGCCTACTATTTACAGTGAAACCAAAGTTAAGGTAAGATCTACCAAGTCTGTATAGACATGATAGTATATCTTATTAACGTTAACATGTTTAAAAAAAATATACACTTTAAGTTAGTTAATGTCGACGTGGATGATGATGATTTTTATCTCATTAATTCTAAAAGCATGAAAATTTGTCTGCTCATGCAAGTGACAATTTTGTTTGATTGTTTAACTGATGAGGGCTCGTTTTTTTCATTTATAATTTGCCATTAGTGATAGTTACATTACTTCAGATTCAAAACGTGCTAAATGCCAGAAATTTTTATTCGAGTTTGAATTATATCATATAAATTTTATTCACATTATTCGTTTATACATCCTTAACCTTCTCATTGCCTTTGAAACATGATAATTGGCATTTAACGCATGAGTAGTAAGTCGATGATTGTCATTAATCAAACGTGTATTTAGATATTTGAAGCAAACATGTCAAGTAATACAAGTGCTTAAGATTTAGCATTTGTTTAATTTATAAACAATGTTATATGCTGTAAAATGACATTAAATTCGCAGAAGGAACTGATTCGGGAAGTCGAAATGGGTCCTTTCAAGCACTCAGTCGACGATGGTTTAGACCTCAGGAAGGCGGCTTTCGAATGCATGTATACGCTGCTGGGAACATGTCTTGACCGTCTTGATGTTTTTGAGTTTTTAAGACACGTGGAGGATGGACTACGTGACCACTATGACATTAAGATGCTCACATATCTGATGTGTGCACGTTTGGCACAACTATGTCCTGCTGTTGTCTTACAGAGTAAGTTTTTTTTTCAATTCTTGTGAACTTAATAAGTTTCGGAGTAATTTGGTCTCATTGTTGAAGTAGTCAATTGTATTAGACCTTTTTATCTAAACAAGACATTTTCTAATATTATACATTATGGAAAAAATATCTTTTGTTTTTTTTAGGGTTAGAAAGTTTAGTGGAACCCCTCAGAGCGACATGTACAATGAAGGTAAAGGCAAACTCAGTAAAACAAGAATACGAGAAACAGGACGAGCTTAAAAGATCAGCGCTTAGAGCAGCTGCTGCACTGTTACAAATACCTGAAGCAGGTAAGATAAAGTCCGCGGGGCAGGTGTCTTATAAATGTTCTATTGATTCTCAGGACAGCTATTTATTATCTATCATAGCGTTCAGTAACCTTTTTATAGTTAATGAACTTGCCTTTAGTTAAGAAAAATAGGTATCACAATTTAGTAGCAGCCTCTACTACACCAAATGACCAGAAAATACTGTGATTTAAATGAGGTTTAAAAAGTAGATCCATCTTGAGGCAATTAGATTAAAAATAAACATTTCATTGAAAAAGTAATCATAAGTTCCTTGTTACATGATCGTTAGTTCGTTTTTCTTTTTATTCCAGAAAAAAATCCTCACCTAATGGACTTCGTGACCCAAATTAAATCGTTCCCTGACCTACAGCCCATTTTCGAGTCGATCCTCAAGGACTCAATGTGCGGCAGTGGTGTCGACTCGAACCTGATGGACCAAAGCTAGCCGCCAATGAACAATATCCTTCGCATTTATTTTTACACACAGCGACCGTAAAGGCCCGAGGTTCTATTTTATTTTGAAATATTTTGTTGTTTTGTTTTTGTAAGAATGCATATTATTTTCATTCATTTCAAATGTAAAGATGATTGAAATTGAATAGAAGTTTAGTTAAAATGAAATTTTGATTTCACTTTTTATTGAGGTTTTTAGTATAATATAGAAATAATTAAGGCGTTTGTTTCAACAGCTTTATTATAAAGTTACAAAGTACATAACCAAGACATCAGCAATGCTTGACGAGAACAACGTCGGAATTTTCACGATGCTAGTAAGGAAACTAAGGACGTAAGGAATATTTTGGTAACGTCACGGTCCATATACATATATTGTGACGGTGGTTATTACACTCGCATAACTATCGACAATTGGAGCGTAGTTATTTAATGCTTTGAATAATAAAATTGACAGCCAGACATTCTAATAGAATAATAATGTTGTATCGATAGTTATACAGAATAATTTATTTTATTGATATGTATTGTGATATTACAAGCTATGTGGAAAAATCATAGGCAAATGGATAAATACACTATAATGAAGCTAATCTTTATAGTATCAGTTATTTTCCTTTCCTCTTTGCCGCAGGCGTGGCACTCGCAGGCCTTGGCACATCCTGTTGATTCATAGAAAATATTAAAAGGCGTGATAATTTATAAACAATGGAGTAAACTCTAAAACTAAGGTAAAAAACTATGAGAAGGGATAATTTTCATCCACATTTCCTACAAGCCACCTTAAGGAGAAAGTTAGTTTCTTTCAGATGTATGCTTATTTCTATTCTGAATAATAAGGGTTATTGGCTGCTTTGGTTTTACCGATTAAATACTTTCATGAGGTTTGTTAGAACAGTCAAAATTATCAATAGTCATAGTTACCGGTTTCACTGGCGATGCGCGTGTCAATGTCGAGCTGCTGTTGTTACGTAATGGAGGTCGCGATAACGTGCTGACGCTGCTCATTGCACTCACCGGCCTCTCTGGACTTAATTCTTTGCTATTAAAAAAAAGATTAAGTAGCTTTGTTAATAATAATTACTATTTTACATTTGATAATTATCAATATTGTTCTTACGTACCTGTTCCCTCGAGAGAGTTGACCCTTTCTGCTAAACATATCCGACAAACGTCCTCGTAGGTCGCGCTTACTTCCCGCAGCGCTCATATCGGAATCGGACCCCTGCTAATATAAAATAGAAGTTATCACACTAAATAACACAAACGCACTAGATATAAAATAAATTAGTCAAGGCTTTCTCAAGGATATAATTGGATGCATTGGATTGGCCCTTCAAACTGTGACAGATGACCAACAGTCGTTTGAACAATGACATCGGGGAGCTGAGGACATTTCAACTAGAAACTATGACTTTAATATTACTATTTCAGTGCTTCATTTAGATAATATGTCATAGTGTTATAAAGCGTTTACATATTACAATCATGATTACCTGGGAAACAGTGCCAATAGGTCTAAAATCCACGACTCCAGTTGAGTCTACTTGATCGTCAATAGAACGGGACTTAGTTAATTTTTTTAATTTGCCAAATATACTCTTCTTTTTCTTCTTTTCTGTAGAGAGTACCTCACTCTGAGCCGACCCTCCTGACAATCGACTGTGACAAAAACCCGAACATTAATAAGTTACACATATTTTAACAGTTTCCAATTATTTAGGAGTGTCAAGAATGATTCTAAATGTATACCTGTCTAGACTTGCATCTCGCTGCATGGTAAAAAGACAGCCGTCATCCCCGTCAAGAGATTGTATCGATGAAACGCTACCCTCGTCCATAGATTTCCATATTGAGCTCTAAGTAAAAGTAAACAATTTCAGTACTTCTGTTGTCATTCGTCTTTTACTTGTCAAATGACGTGCTAAAAACACTGGCCCGGTTATTACTGTTCAGCTTAAACGGTTTTGAAGATATGTCTACTTTTCAAAGTAATCCATTATGTTAATGTTTAAATCCGTCAAATTCTCACTACCGCATTAACGCGGTAAATCTAGCATGGGAACATTTGCAACATTAGAACACGTCAGTATCAAATAATTAGTTCTTAATCAAACTTAGCTGAAAATGATTACCTGTTCTTTGGTTGTTTGTTCGAGCGATATGGACCGTTTCTTGAGTGATGGCGCACGTGAGGGTGTGCGCGATGCCGGTGTCACGGATAATGTGTCGCGAGGCTCCGTCGACATGGCCCTAGAAACAAACGTATTATTATAATCATCTTGTGGTCATCACCGTTGGTGTGTCGTATTTCATTGACTCGTTTGTAATATAAATCTTCCTCCGAACTTTTTTTCCAAACTAGGTTGGGGTCAGCTTTTAAGTTTACCATCAGACCTACAAAACCCAAGTACTAGGCGAAGTACGAAATGAATGTTCATAACGCTTTTAAAGACGCGCTTTAATTATTTATTACGATCTTTATGTGCGTTCCCGTTCCGTTGTTTTTTTCAGAACAATTTTCAACGCGTGCAACCTCAAAAGATGTTATCTCATACAATGTTCGAGTAACCATAATTTCGATTTAATTTGGGAATATCTTTTGCTCTCCTAGACGAAAATCTATCTATATCATATGTAGAATATTGGCACTAGTAAGTTGAAAAGACGGAACATGGCCTTACCGTCTAGCAGTGGCTTGATGTCTCCGCTGCCGTTCTGCGATGCGTGAGGCGCGCAACTCGTCCGTGAGGCGGCGCAGGCGCGCTGCTGTGGAGACCGCCTCCATGCCGTTCGTGCCGCTCTCCGGCGTAGCCGAGCGAGATCGAGATTTGGAAGACTATACAATAAAATATCTCATTTTTTTATTTTATTTTCTTAGTTTCTGTAATTCAAATACTTCATCAACAGCCTTTAATAGTCCACTGCTGGACATAAGCCTCTCCTTAGAAAGGAGGTTTTGGCCTACTAGGTTCTGTAAATTAGAAAGCGTTATGAAAATTTTCTTTATATGGTTCAATGGTGGTGGTGATCTTTTATCGACAGTATGTGTGAGATAAAAACACATTCTCAAAACCAAATAGGTAATCCCTACCCTATTCCTTCGAGGAGGCGTAGGTGTTGCTAAGTTCTTTTCAGGTTTCACAGCAGCTTCTGCACGGAACAATTCTGGACTCTGTTTCATTAGATCGTCAATTGTCTCCAGCAGTTGAGTTATAATCCTATCATCCTCCTGAAAACATGTTATATGTTATTACAATAAATTGAACAGAACAATAAACTGGCTTTATAAAATCGTACCTGTTGTGCTCGTTTAAGAGAACCCACAAGTAGTTTGTTCTGGTCGCGATCTCGATCGTGTCGCTCCTTGTCACGGCGTAATTTTTCATTTGCTGTGCGCAATTTTGCATGGGCATCACGTAACTCTAACAAATCACATTGTAACTCTGTCACCTAAAACAATAATAATAATAATTAGGCACCTGGATTAAGGGTCTGATGCAGAAGCAGTACTTCTCGATACAGCAGATATTTTTTGTAATCCCCAAACCACTGGCAGTTTTGTCCCCGTGCCCGATACTAGTGTGACACTGTTTTTTTATATTTTAAAGATATTACACTTAAATATACATAAATCAATGTGTACAGTAAAGAATAAACAATTAATAACTCAAACTCAAAACTTCTTTATTTCATAAAAAATATAAAATTATTTGAAAGCCTCTCTTGTGTAGACTAAGATATTGATAGATCAACACACAATAGCAACAATCACTGTTTTGTCAAATATTTACCAAACTTAATATATACGTATCGAAAATCTCTTATATGCCTGTGCTGATCAACAACCGCCCATTTCCAAGTTGAGCCTCATGAGAAGAAAGGGCAAACAAACTCACGGCCAAACCTTAGTTATACTATGATTTTAACTTTTTAGATAGCGTAAGAGTTGTATGTACCTTTTTCTTAGCCTCCTCAGTTTCTTCTTCAGTCGTTCTCTTTAGTTGTTCTATTCTTCTCTTCATATCTAACCTCTCCTTTTCTCTTTCACGTTCAATCTATAAATACGAAACTTGCATTATATCACTGTTTACCGGCAATCTTTGTAACAATATTGGTTATTCTCATACCTCAAATAGTGTTTGTCGGAGATCCCTAGCGAGAGTGGAGGTTTCTTGAAGTAACCGTTGCTGTTCATCGCGTTCCTTGTGCCACGCAAGTTCCATTCGAGTAGCAAGACCTGCCACTCTCGCCCGCCCTGACGTTAACAATCTCTCCTCTTCATACTATAACATTATAAACAGCTCGTTATATTTTTTTAAATTTAGTTTTGGGACACTTAAATTAAACTGCTTGTACGCGGTTATCAAATGTACCTCGTTAAGTCTAGATTGCATCTCGGCAAACCGCACTTCGGCCGCAGAACGTTCGCTGACAAGCTCAGTATTGAGTTTGGAGGCTAACAGCCGAGCTTCACACAATTCATCTTCTAAACATGCCGTTTGCTGCTCCAGTGTTGCCAGTCTTGTGCGGTATTCTTCCTGTAATGGCATAATTTAGTCATACGAGAGAATTGTGTTGTGTACTTCAAAACGTCACAAAAGCAGCGTACCTCATCAGTACTGGATATAGAAGCTCGCGCTATTCTTGCATTCTTATCACCGTTCTTCATTTCTGATATTGTCTTCTGAGCAGCATCCAGCATCTGCTTGTAATTATCTCTTTCTCGCCTGAATCTTGATACCTAATATGGAAAAAAATATTTAGTCACATCCAAATTTTAAAAAATGTTTTTCTTAACTGTATTATTTACCTGGTTGTGTAGCGACTTCAACTCATCTCTCATAGTATTCATTTGGCTCTCATACCTCAACTTCATCTCACCAAGCTCATTCTTCCTTGCTGCTTCAGCTTGTTCTAGTCTCGTGTTCATAGCCGACAATTCTCTTTCTAGTTCCGCGTTCTCTGTCGTCAAGGTCCTATGAACCTTAGATACTTTTTCGTAGTCTTCAAGTTTTCTTTTAGCTTCCTCCAACTGAAAATAACACCTAAATTATTGACGGGCCTGTTGGTCTAATGGTTAGTGACCCTGACTGCTAAGCGGGAGGTCATGGGTTTGATTCCCACCCAGGACAAATATTATGTGATGAGCACGGTCGCTGGCTGTAAGTTTTCTATAATATGTATATATTTAAAAATATATGAGTATGTTTATCAGCAGTCTGTTTACCATAGTACCTAGTACATAGGCTTAGCCTAGTTTGGGATCAGCCGTGTGTGAGATGTGTGAGGATGCCTGCCTGATACTTATTATCTATACCTAGATCTGACTGACTGATTAAGTAACTCAGAGCCTAAACTGCATCGTCGAAATTTTGGCAGCTGATGCTTTTTATTGTAGTAAGCACTTACTTAGTGATTTTTCGAAATTTCACCCCTAATAAGAAATAAACGGTTGTATCGAACTTAGCCATTTTCAGGGTTAGTAAAATGAAAGAAGAAATAATATAATCACATCAAATAGTTATGTATATAGGTACTTTTAAAATTAAACCTAAATGTTAAATAAGTATGGAATCTCCCCATTCAGTGGCAACTCCCTCAAAACTGCACTTATTAAAATAATGTAAAATTAAATGACTATAATATCTAATTCTTAATAATAAGTGAAATCCATTTCGTAACCATTAGGTTTACAGTTACTAAATCTACTAACTACTACTCTCTAAATCTAAATTACTATTTATATATATATATATATATATATATATATATATTTTCATTTCATTTAAGGAGAGTGAGACAGTCTAAAATAAAATTTTGCATATGAAATAGTTTTTTTACAGTCTCTTACCTCTTTCTTGGCACTATCGTGATGATGTTCCAAGACATCCCGTTGATCATTTGCAGTGCGCAGCTCTCGTTCTCGTTGTTCCAGTTTTGCATTAAGCCGTGCACGTTCCACCTCCCAGCCTCCACCACATAGCCGATCTTGGAGCGACGATATTGAATTCTGTAAAGTTTTTAGTATTGTATAACCATACTTTTGATAATTGTTATAGTATTTTTTACCTACTTATAACATATATAAAGATGCGAATTACCTCTAAGTTAGTCTTTTCTCTCGTCCAAGCGGAAGACTGCGCATCGTAGTTATCTTGAAGTGTTTTTATTTCAGCTAATGCGACATTCAACTCCTTCTGGGCGTGACTTAATTCGCTTAAAATAAGCGCAATATTATATTAATTTTACAGCGTGAAAACGATAAAGGTTAAAACGATCATATCAAGTAACAACTTACCTTTGGGCTTGTTCTTTTTCCACCGTCAGTCTAGCTTTAGTTACTACGTGTTCTTCTTCTAATATTTCATACTTGCCAGTCAACTCTTCATATTCAGCCTTTTCAACAGCAAGTGAATGCTCTAATTCTAAACATGGTCAAATAACAATATGCTTTAGGGTAAAATACTATTATCGTGCTCATTCAAGCCGTAAACAATATAATTTTGTAAAAAGGTACATATTTTAATGCTTACTTTTTACGGTTTCTTCATATTCTTGTTTAAGATCAGATATTTTCTTTGCTCCAGCACCTGACGATTGTTCCAGAATTTTTAATTTACCCTTAAGAGTCGCTAATTCAGCTTCTTTATTCTTAATGTCTTTGTCGTGAGCTATTCTCATGCGTTCTAGCTTCTTGCGTTCCGACTGTAAAATAATTTGTTTTCAAACTTAATATTTAATGTTTAAATAGTTTTCTGGCCATATTGTAAAAAATAAAATGATGTTTACCTGTAAATCTGTTTCTAATTCTGAAGCTTTGCTTTCCCAGTAACTAGACTCTTTCTTTTCTGCTTGTAACTTACTATCGTAATCTTTCTTGGCACTTTCCAGTTTGGCTACCTCTGATTTTATTTGTGAAATTTCTGTTTTTGCTGTCGATAGCTCTTTTTCAGTCTTACTTAGATTTTGTTTTAAAGTAGTTAATTCCTCTTGTTTCTCTTCGAGATCTCTGGTAGCTTTTTCTAACTTACTCTGCATTTGTGCCATTTCTACTGATGATATGGCTTCATCATATTTTGGATTCGATGTATCTCGTAGAGTATCTTCCTGCAATGTCAAATCTATGATTAAGAAGGTATTTTTAGGAGGGAAAACTGGGTTTCACTCATTAAACAACCGGCTTTATGAGCGTTAAAAGGGATTGTGGGGCATTGAGGTTATGTGGACATGCGTATGGAAAAAATAAAAAATATATATAGGGGAAGCATTGTTTAAACCTTTTCTCAATAAGGGTAAAGTTATACTACGAGGAAGTCTCGGCGACACACCCAGGTCCATGCATCGCTGTTTGCCTATTAAATTATATTAATAAACGCAAATACCAGGTGTTTAATATGATTATCTTTGGCGGCTATAGTTGATTCCAAATTCGTGATCTTATTTTCGTAGTCATCTTTTATCTCTTTCATTGTACATTCTAATGTAAGGAGTTTATTTTCAGTTTTAAACAGTTTTGCTTGTATTTGGTCTTTTTCGCTAGTTAAATCTATTGAAATCCGTCGTTGCGTGTCAGTTAATACTTCAGTTTGCTCCTTCTCTTGGGAAAGCTATTATTGATACAATATTTATGTATATGATCTGTTATTATAAGGTAAAAAATGAAATTATTACTTGTGCTGTAAACCTACTAGAATGCAGTACAAGTAATAATTTACTTTTATATTTTTCGTTAGTGTCTCAGGCAAGTAGACGCCAATTTTCTTACCTCTTTCTCTAATTTCGCTACACGGTCCTTTCGTGCAGATAGTTGTTTCTCAATTCGCTTGTATTTCTCATCAGCTTCTTTCAATTTCTTTTCTAACTCCCCAATTTTTTTAGCCTTATCTGCAACCTGCAACAAATATACATGTTACTTATATTAAAACTTAATGATGAATGAATCTTACTTGAATAATTATAAAAGTATTTTTATTATTGACATGCAGTTGTATCAAATGTATATAGATACCTCTTTTAGCAGTTTTTGTTTATCTTGCTCTAATTTATTAACATTTTCAACTTGCTTTTTCAATTTTTCGATTTCTTTTTCTTTATCATCAATATCCTTTTTCAGTTCTTCTATTTTCTTCATACAGTCAGACATTGTTGTTTGTAAGGACGTTGCATTTTCTGGCATAAAAACAGAGGTCATTTATAAAACATAGTAGTAAATATAAATACTACTATAATAGTTATCCCAAATATAAATACTTATTTTTATGAAATTAATGGATAAACTTACTTAGATCAGTATTAAGTTTGGTTATTTCTATTTCGAGACTTTTTTTCTCTTCGTGCAAAGTTTGACACTGGTTGGATTTGCTATTATTTTCTGTTTCTAGTTTTTTACACTTTTTACTTAAGTCTGTATTATCAGTCTCTAATTTTGTATTTAGATCCCTTAGTTTGGCAATGTCAGTTTGTAGCCTATTCTTTTCATTTTTGAACTCTTCGTCATTTTTCGATAATTTTAATTTTATATCTTCTATATCTTTCTCTAGTTGTACTTTTGTACTTATTTCGGTACCAGTAAGTCCAGCATTTTTCATTATCACATACATTTCGCCTGGGGAGTGGATATAAACAAACAGTTTACAAATGGCACTGAAACTTAAATACTATTGACATGTAATTACTTACAATTGTATGTACAAAATTATTATTACCTATTTCGTTTTCTAGTTCGTCTACCATTTTCTTCATCTGCAGTTTTGTTGTTAGGTCGGTTAGTTTTTTTGGAACTCGTGGTTTAAAGGATTTTATTGCATCTTCTTTCAATGCCTTCAAAGATGCTTGAAGTTGAGCTTTTTCTTTCTCTAGCTATAAACATAAGTAATTCAATTGAGAAATTTATTGTAATGCTCTATGTAAGAGTATATTAAATAGAAATAATTATACATTACGTACTTTGTTGTAGCTGAGTTTTAACTTGTCCAACTCGTTTTGTTTTGTTTTTAGTAATTCGCTGTCTTTTTTATTATTTACTTCTCCTCCAAACCTAACCTTTTTTGGTTCTGTTTTTTCCTCTTTATCTTTGTTACTTTCAATTTCGGTGATTTTTTCTAAAGCTTCTTTTAGTTGATTTTCTAAGTTACTTATTTTATTTGTACTTTGTTCTATTGATTTATCAGACTTTAATGTCTTAGCGTTCTTCAATAACTAAAAATTAGAATAGGAGTAGAATAAAAATTGCGTTCTACAATTCTGGAACATATTACTCAGGGCCGTTTACAAATAAACTAAACATAGCTTTCACTATGGATTAGGTATATAACACAGATAAATATATCTACTATACATATATACGAGCGATGAGCTGAATATCCGAGGGTAAAGAAACCTAATCTCTAACTAAATCTTAAACGGATCTTTTAATTTACTTTATTATATTTTATTACGTTTATAAAAAAATATTTTTCTAAAATTAAACAAAAAAATATATTATGATACAAGGTATATAAAAGATTATACTTGAATATATACGAGTATAAGGACTTCTAAACCTAAATCTTAGTGCTGTGTGTATTTTAATTATTATTTAAAAAGTAAATTAGGTATGAACAACAACGGTCTTATCAAGGCCACGCACATAGGTATAAAATAAGACAAAACTTGAGGTCCGTATCCCTATTCGCGCTATCTAGACTCTATGATCCACATCTGCAGATATACATTTTTAATGATGGGACACATCTCTGATACCTACTTTTATCAAATGGATACATTTTTTTCCTAAATATATACGAGTATGTATAGACATATTACATATACAGAGACAACCAGACCAATGCCAATAGGAATATTCATTAATAAAAATATTTCGCCACTAAGCGGTAATCGAATTCGGGCTCTCAGACGTTGTAGTCGCATGCATTATCTTCGCGCCCCTTGGTCCGCATTATGTATAATATCATAAATAAATGTATTGAGGTTGATACTGTGTTTACCTGTAATTTCTTGTTTTCTGCCTGAAGCTTTTCATTGTCAGCCTCTAAGGCTTGTGTTTTCGACCGAAGAACATTTGCCTCTTGCTCTATAACTTGAAGTTGACGTTTCAAGTCGATATTTTGCTGGTCTCCGTCGAGTGATCTGTGATTGTTTATTTATTAAACGTATTTAAGTCTAGTATATAAAATTGTTGCAATTTTAAAAAGCTATAGAATTATGGCTTTGTGCTGTATGTTATTTGTGCGTGTTCAAACTATGAATTGTTTTTAAAAAAATATTGTAGGTACTTAATAAAGTTAAAAATAATATATATTATAAAAAGAGAGTAATAATATTATGTTCTGTTTTAAGGATATATATGAACATGCCTTCACTCTCGCCGTTATCTTCGAATGACTTGGTAGAGAACCTATTATTAAGTTAACGAGACAACTGTTTTTGGCCTTGGTGTCAAATCTAATACTTCAGTAAAATAACTATGAGAGCAATTTGGAAGATATTAAAATGGAAGTAAAAGGTTTTTGCTTATACAGTTATACGGTCCATACGCATCAGGTAGGAAGCACTTATAAGCAACAGCTCGATCAAGATCAGGGTTGCAATGCACTCATATGAATATTATTTTTATTTGTATTTGTATTCAGATGTTGCAAGTAAATTGTCACGATAGAGTTTAATATCTTTTTCTAATTTTCGTGATATTAAGGATGGAGAAGTTCTATACTAGAACAGTTAAAATATAACTTACTTGCTTTTTATAAGTGAGGCTTTTGGTTTCTTTTGTGCTAAACTTAATTCAGCATGTAGCCTTTCACAGTCTCGTTCTTTTTCTATAAGTTTTTTCCTTAATTCTGCTATTTCGTCTTCTAATACCTAGAATCGATCTCCATTCATAAATGCAGTACTTATACTTTAAATTTTGCAATGATAATTTGTAGTATGACTATCTTAAATACCTTAACTTTTTCATCTGCCAAATTGTTACTTTTAGCATTAGTGGACCGACGGAGAGTTACTGTTGAATTAGTTTTGGATTGGTTAGCAATTTTGTCTGTAAGTTCCTTAATTTGTTTCTTTAAAGAATCTCTTTCTTGCTCCATTTCTTCTACTTTACGTCTTAACACGGATGCTTCCTGAAAGGAGAAAGTGCCAAGCATATGATGTAATTTTTCAAACCGAATAAATATGATATGTTTATAAAAAATAAAATATCATATTTTGATGTTTGGTAGTCAAGATTTTTGATAATTGTATCGATATGAGTGCAGTATAAGTAATGTAAAATAAACACCTGCTCGTTTAGTTCAAGAAGTAATCGAAGTTCAGTAGGGTCTTCTTCATCTGTTTTTCCATCTTTTTCATAAACATCAAGTTTATTTGATGGGGGTGTGGGCGACAGCTTACGACCTAGAAATGATTTGTAACTTACATATCAATGTATATATAAGATATAAAAGCTTGTAAAGATTTAGTAAATTATGCAAAGGTTTTAATTAAATATTAGTAAAAAAATCAAAGGGACAATACGATTACCGTAATGTATTTTATCGACAAAACATTGTAGAAGCTCAAATACTAATACTGACTGGAGAAAATGGCTACCATCAATACGCCGTGTAGTTTAATATATAGATAAGCGTGTTAGTATATATATATTATACGTCAAAGATGAAGGTTTGTTAGTAAATTAATGGTTATCTACATAGGTACATAATGTAAATGATACAACACAGCGGAGTTTTCATGTGCACAGATTTTTGGATAAGGTGTATGTTAGGGAAACAATATACAACAAATTATATGATATACAATAACTATATGACGTACTTCTGGCTTTGGTAGCCATTTTCTTCAGCTGTAGTAGCAAGGACTCATTGTCGTCCTCGACCCGGGACGCAGTTTTACGTAAGTTATTTGCCTGTAAATAGTCGTTAGTTATAGTTCAAGAATCTCTCACTGTCTATGGTTTATGGCTAAAACTAGGTAGAAATCTGTTAGGGACAAAAATAGTAGTAACAAAACCAACATTTAAAATATGGGTGAATTAATTGTATGTACCTATGTTCGGCAATCTTAAAGCCAATGGACTAAATAATGACATTAATGGTAAGGGATACGGAGATATAGATTCTGGCCTTCTATCTGGGGTGAGAGGTGGACTTTCAGACTGATCTCTAGAAAATATTTCTCTGCATTCGAGTGTATCGTTAATTATTTGTAAATCGTTTTCTGATATATTATCTTCTTCGTTGATAATGCTTATGGTTTCTGTACTCGCATCAACATATTCTTTATAGTCATTGATAGCTTGAAGGGATTTATCGTTATAAAGTTTTGCAGCAGTCTGCACATTTGCATTTCTTAACTTCTGTTTATCAGTTTGAGCAAATTTATTAATCCTCATAAATTCCGTTTGAATAAATTTACTTTTCATGAAAGCAGCTTCAGTCTGTGTGTACATTTCCAATATATCAATGGTGCTTTGAACAGTGGAGTCGAGAGTTATCTTTTTAGTATCAGTCATTACGTCATGCAATAGGATCGTGTCAGTTTGACAACCTTCAGAATAACTAAAAATGAGATCTTGCGGTGACTGAGTATGTTGATTTACACCTATCGATGATGGGCTACTGTCTAATGATAAACTTTTTTCTAATGCAAGTTGCATTTCAAGTATTCTTTGAATAGTTTTTGGTTCGAATTTTTCGTAGTCATCTCTTAACATTTGAGGTGAAATTGGATCTGATAGAGAGGATTGTGGAATAAGTTGCGGGCGCATTCTTCTAACGTCGCCGCGTCGACGATATCGACTGGCCTGTTCAAACATAAGATTCCTTAAATTCGTAAAAATTGATAAACAATATTTTTGTTATTGATTTTTTAAATGTGAATAACACATGTTTATTAAATTCATCGATTGAGTCAGCTCTGAGCTGGCTGTGTGCCAGCTGGCATCCAACGAACGCGAGTTAATGCTCCATTGAGTGAATTGTTTCCTAATGCCTCTTAATGATCGAAGAAAGCGATGCCGAAGCACGGGACAATTTCACAAGATATGATTTACCTCCTCTTCCGCATTTCGTAGTTGTTCACGAAGATCGGCTTCACGTTCCAGGGAGTCCTGAAGATCTCGAAGTAACTGAGCCGGGTCCTCTTGACTTCCGCCACGAGTCAGTGACGAACGTGATACTTTCTGCAAGTTATATTATCTATTCTATATTCTATACAAATAAATAAAATTAAAGTGTCTGTGTGTAATGTCAAAATAATAGACTTTTTTCATGCATTAAATTTTTGAACTGGTTTTTAAAATATACTAAGAATATTTTACTACCAGGTAGCTGTCTATATAAGGAGTAACTTAGGCTATTTTTCTTCTCAGAAAAACCCTTTGCCCGGTCCGGGAATCTAACCAAGGCAACGCTTTTCAAATGCCACTCGAACGAAGTCGCGGGTACCAGCTATCTATACAAATAAATAAAATTGGAGTGTCTGTTTGTAATATTAAAATAACCGCTTTTTACTAAATGCATATGTATGTTTACACGGTACATATGCCAAAATAACATCTTCTGTCTGTCTCTCTGTTTGTTCCGGGTAATCTCTGGAACGGCTGGACCGATTTCGACGGGACTTTTACTGGCAGATAGCTGATGACATAAGGAGTAACTTAGGCTACTTTTTTTAGACTGGCTTCGCCCCGCGGCGTTGCCCGCGGTTATAACAACAAACGCGGGCAACACCGCGGGTCTCAGCTAGTACATAATATAATAGCTACATGGCCATAAGCATTTAGCTACCTTAAGACCACTGCAGGTTACAGGCCTCGTCTAAATACCTATTTCATAATTGAAACTACGAAGATAACTTCGTAGTTTCAATTATTGTGAATGTATGTACGAGGGGTGATCAATAAGTAATGATAATCAATATGAAACAGAACTATTAGATTAAAAAAAGTATTTTATTTTTCAACATAGTCTCCTTGCAAGTTAATACATTTAGTGTATCTTTTTTCTAAGCCCATGATTTCCTTAGAAAAAAATTCTTTGTCTTGACCCTCCCAAAATGCCTCTACTGCGGCCATCACTTCACTATTGTCCTCAAATTTGTTGCCCCGGAGGTGTTCTTTGAGCCGAGGAAAGAGGTAGAAGTCACTGGGAGCTAGATCTGGCGAATAGGGAGGGTGTTCGAGCAGTTCGAACCCCGTTTCTTCAATGGCAGCCATCGCAACTGCGGCTTTGTGAGCCGGGGCGTTGTCTTGGTGAAACAGCACTCCAGCGCGCAGTTTACCGCGTCTTTTTGACTTAATAGCTTCTCGCAATCTTCTTATTTGGCCTGCGTAGTAAGAGCCTGTTATAGTGGCCCCCTTTTCCAAATATTCCACCATAATAATTCCTTCTGCATCCCAGAAAACAGACGCCATAACCTTTCCCGCTGAACTTGACACTTTGAATTTCTTCGGCGTTGGTGAGGAAGCTCGTTTCCAAGTCATTGATTGTTGTTTGGTTTCGGGATCAAAGTGGTGGATCCAGGTCTCGTCCATGGTCACAAAACGCGACAAAAAAAATTCTTTATCGGCCTGGAACTTTTGAAGATTCACCCTCGAAATGTCGACTCGTTTCTTTTTTTGCTCGTCGGTTAACATTCTCGGTACCCAACGCGCAGAGACCTTTTTCATATGCATTTTGTTGACAATGATTTTTTGAACGCTGCCATAGGAGATCCCTGTGACCTCAGCTACATGCCTTACGGTCACCCTTCGATCGGCCAACACGATATCTTCCACTTTTTTGACGTTTTCTCCAGTAAGGGACGTGGAAGGGCGTCCCTCGCGATGTTCATCTTCAGTGGAGGTTCTGCCCAGCTTAAATTCCTTTGCCCAGCGTGCGACTGTGGAATATGGAGGAGCAGACTCCCCCAATGTTTCCTCTAAGTCGCTGTGTATGTCTTTGGTAGACATTTTTTTCAGGCAGAGGTACTTGATGACAGCTCTTATTTCATTTTTCTCCATTTTGATGTTTTCTCTTCGACAGTTCGTATTCAAATGAATGTATCTCCCGGTAATGGTGTCCTATTTATACATTTTTTTGAAGCTGAAGTAGTGGATATATAAGCAAGCAGAAAAAAAATAATTTGGGTTTTTGTGCGTTCTAGAAATACTCGATTATCATTACTTATTGATCACCCCTCGTACACACAACTAGACTTACATTAATTACTGCATCTTTAAAAAAGTATAAGTAGGCACCTATCTGAACCACTCCGACTTAAAATAATGATACTTCCATAAACATTGAGCATTTATTATTGTTTTTGAACGCGAAGTTTTTTACTTAACTATTTTACTGATTTAATAATAATATAAAGTTATAGTACCCCGTCTGTCAGCTGGTTCTTTTTAAGGTTGGCTGGCGGTGCTCCTGAGGCGGCTGTTAGCTTAGTGTTAGCTTCGGTCAGTTCCCTTTGTAACCTCAGCGCCACCTCGTTTGCCCGAGTCACCTCTTGTTCCAACTCCTTAATGCGATTCTCACGCTGTAGTCCTTCTTGGCCGCCGACTATCTGTACCATGATGAAAATATCATTAAATTATTGTCATTTGTAATTGTCGATGGTTGTTAATAGCTAGTACAGAGTTTAAAGGAAGATTGTACCTTACCGGCACGCGCGTTTTGTTACAGTTTATATCGTGTCAGTATGGAACTATATTAGAGATGGGGATGACAATCAAATTAAATAGGAAATTCCTATTTACTCAAAAGCTATTAGATTATATTATTTGATTCTCGATGAAACTTTTTACTTTATAGGAAGCGATAATGGCGATAAAGCGATAAAAGTTAATACACATGGAGTTCTTGCGATCGTACTCAGCTGACTGGAAATCGGATACCATCTTTTAAGAGCGAATGTAAAATCATAGTCGAAGGCAACATATTGATATCAGTTGCCTTTTTTACCCAACACATTCTAATTGTTATGTGTAAGTTAATATATTTTCAAAGATGGGATAGTTCAAAATGTTGTAGGTTGATTCTTTACTTACTTCCAAGAGTTTTTTCTCGTGTTCTGCTTTCTCTTGCTCAAGTTGCTCAGCTTTTCTTTCAGTCTTTTTTAACTTAAACGATAAAACTCTACAATTCTTTATTGTCTGCTCCAACTCTCTCCTAAGAGAAGAGTATTCATCGGCTTGGTCCTCTCTAAAAATCAGTATTGTCATTTTATACTTATAATTATAACCAGTCCGTTCTTGAAAGAATGCCCAGGTTTTTTAATGTTACTAATATAATCTTAATTTCGAGCGAAACTAAGCTGTAATTATCATTGAACTACGGGGTATACGATGCATAATTTTGATAGCCAATATACAACATTCTGCTACCAAGAAAACAGCCCCGTCTGCTCGTTTGCCTCTTATATGTTAAAAAAAGACTAAGATAAATATTGAAATAGACCTAAAATTGTCCTGCATTTCCTCGATCTCCTCCTCGAGGTCGCGCAGTTCCTTTTTCATGTCCTCGTTCTCATCCATCAGTTCCTCGCACAAGGTTTCCGCAGCTAACAGCTTTGCTCGGAGCTGTTCAATTTGTCGAGCCTGTGCTTCTACAGATGGTCTGGACTGGAAATGTGTTATAAAATTAGATAGATATTTAGCTTAGGTCTTTCCCCACAGAAGTCTCAGACAATACAGACTCATTATTCATCAACGACTAGTTTTGTTGCGATAGGGATGGTCTATCGATAGTATGGTGATACTTTCGTGGCCTTGAAAATCAATCATACTATCGATAGCCGGTTTGGTCGTATGATACTATCGATCGAGTGATAAAAGCAATTGATAAAATTGATAGTATCCACTCTATCGATAGTATCGATAGTTTTGATCTAGCGATAGTCGAGAACATTTACCGATACTATTGCTTGCTCATAAAAGGCCATATAGATCAAGTATAACATAATCTTCAGTAAATAATAGTTGTGTTTCGTTGTTGCTCTTAATTTGCAGTGATCAAACCATGAAAATCTTGAATAAGCTTTACAGCTCTTCCAGCTGTATCATTAACTGCATAGCGTCTTTTCTCACATAACCTCACAACCTAACTGCATAACCTCACAAACTCGTTCATAAACATTAAATATGCTGAATATTTGTCTCCCTTCGTTTTATTTCCAGTCGATAATATCGAAAACATGTCGATAGTTATAAAGTAAAACTGTCGATACTATCGAAACGCGTCTATAGACCTTAGATAGTATCGATAGTATCTATTTTTTTATATTGTTGATAGTATCGTTGCAACAACACTGTCAACGACGCTTAATGATTAAAATCATAATGTGATGAATCAAACATCTGTGGAGGAACGGGTGTCATGTCCCCGCAACACAAAAGGAGGATCTCCCGACCAGGCGAGGTGATCATGCCTGGCGGGCCGCGGTCCAACGGTTGATGTTGGAAAGTTGTATGAATGCTAATCGGCGAGATAATTCTTCATATCGCGATACAGGATTAGCAATTTTCATTCAGGATTTACTCCATAGTTCGGTGTGTCTTCGTTATTGGCGCTGTAAAATGTTTTTGTTTCTTTGTATGTGGGAGGTGCCACACATCCTTGTGAGAAGATTATTTTTCATTAGATAAGTATGTCCAATCTCTATGCGCTAGAGTTTTGATCATATAATAAAGTGAGTGAGTGTGCGTGTCTCTACTAATTCTGTTTGCATATCTTAGATATGCTCTAGAAAGGTCGTCGAAAATTATTAAAAAAATTTTTTTATAAAGAGTTTCAAGATGACTAATTGAAATAAGTTACCTTTACAACATTGCAATCAGAAGAAAGAAGCCATACCAACGTCGGTTTTAATGTCTTACCTCGAGTTCACTTTCTACTTCTTTAATCTTTAATGTGAGATGATTCTTCTCGTCTTTTAAATCTTCATTCTGAGACGTTAGTTCGTTGACTTTCTGCTGTAGTTTTAGCACTTCTGATGATCTTCCTGTACTATATTTATTGACCGTGTCTATATTCGCCAGTCGTCGCAGGAGTATGTCACTTTTTTCTTTCTCTACTCTCTCACACCGCTTACGTAGAAGTTCTACTTCTTGATTCAAACTTTCTATTTGCTCCTGAAATTTTTTATATTTAATTTAAATATTGTATTTAATACTGGCCAAAAGCCTAAATAGTATGATGATATAATGACAATCACAATTTACAAGTTCTTAAAAATAGTATAGAAATTAAGCAAAAACAAGCGAATTTATTCAACTGTATGCTTATTTAATCGACTTCAAAAAGGAGGAGGTTCTCAATTCGATTGGTATTTTTTTTTTGTTTATACGAGTATATCTAATGACAAACGGTCAAGTTACATTTTAAAAAGCAGTGCTTACATTTTTATTCAAAGATAAACTAATCTGGTTCTGAAAGGTACTATATAAAGGAATACTCTTATTGAATGCAAGAGTAGATCAAGAGAGGGGTCGGTAGGGTAGCAGTAAGGGCAATAGGTATTTTATTAAGTAAGTATAATTAGGTGCCTCAAACAGAGTAACCACTATAAAAATGAAGATCTTAAAGCTATAATTACCTGATACTCCTTGACATTGACGTCAACCAGTGTTGTTTCTGTAGTGACCGTGCCAGAGTTGCTAGTTTCATCGTCTGAATCATCTTTTTCCTTAGAGGGCCCGCCTCGCACAGGAGGTTTTGAGCTTGTCAAGTTACGTGAACTCTTTACCTGAAAGATATTTTAGAAAGTTAAGTCTGTAAGTCAAGGCGGGATATAAGATATCAGTTTAACATGCGTAAGACAGACATACTAAGTTATCATGACCTTAGGTTAAATTAACTAAGTCAGATACCTTAATTTATGACAGACACTAGATATTTCACATCACATCAAAAGCCTTTAATAGTCCACTGCTGGACATAGGCCTCTCCTTAAAAGGAGGTTTAGATATATATAAAGCAGTATAGGTCTAGATATTTAATGTACACGTAAATATAGGTTCTAAGTATATGACTTACACTAATTAATTATTCTGCTACAGTTGATTAATTTTAATACTCTAAATACTCTCTGTAGTGTTTATTGTAAAACAGTGGGTAATACTTTCAAACTTTCATTTTGTATAATCCGATTTTATGATGGGAACATAGCCATAGGATATAAATCGCAAATGCGCGAAGAAGTCCTCTCTAAACCAGGGGGCCACAAAATTAAACTACTAATAAAAATTCAAAACATTTTTATGATTACTAGAAAAGTCTATATAATTTGCATGGCTATGTGTTACGTATTGGCAACGTGTTCTAAAAATATGAGACTTCGATTTCTTGTAAACACTTATATTTTCTTTAGGTACTTTATAAGAAACAACAAATATCGTTGATAGTAACCTGCATCATAAAGTTTACGTCGTCCTTTGCCGCCGATCTATCCTCTTTAAGCCGAGTAGGCTTTTCTTCTTGATGAACTTCTTTACTCCTAGATAAACTTCTCCTTTCCCTTTCCTTCTCTATACTTGATTCTTTTTCAAAACTATTTTGAGATTTAATTAATTGCATCTGAAAATAAAACATACATTCTAATCAATCGTAGAATTTATGCATAATAAATGTAGATATATTTGCAGTTTTTTTTTTCAAAGAGTCATTCAACTTTCGTACCAACAAACATACGTCTTAGTTATTTATAGTGCCTCTTATTAATGCAGTTACCAAAAAGATATTTAAATATATTTAGTTGAATAGTTAGTTGAATATGTATTCAAGAAGTGAAAATATATTATAGGTCATTTCCTCAATTAATTATAACGTGTGCGCTTTGCCAAGCTCTTTCATAGTGACCTTTTATGTTTATTTTGAGCAATGCATCGCAAATAGTCTAGCAGAAAGCAATCAGTAGACAGCTCTTTATGGTTGACCCACTTATTCCTCACACGTTCGTCTAGAACATAAATCCAAGGTGAAGACAATGGTGTTATAATTTAGTCAGTTCATTAATAGACACACGCTATAGTTTTTGCTGTTTTAGAAAAATACAAGTGTAGAACTCGTGTGCAGTGCAAAGTTAGGTAAAACAACATTATTGTTATTATAATTGAATATGCATTACATATTCAATTTGTTTTGAATGCTTAGAGCTTTTTATTGAGATATTTCTTTAAAAATCTTATAATTCAAGTATTATCAGCGCTTGGGTGATTATACTACCTTGGCGCCTACAAGTAACAAAAATCATGCCAGACTCTATGACTATCATGCCTACGCACAATACTCCGGCGCCCCCCCCAGGATCTGGCTCCCAGCTGTACGCAGGATAGGCCAGCCCCTAATTTATAAATGAGTACAAAAATAGTATTGATATATTACTAATGAAGTGCAATAATATAATAATAAAATCATAAAAGGTTTATTTTTAAGGTGAAAAAAAATTACCTTATTTGAAAATACATATTATTTACTATTATCTAGTAGGTAGGTACATATAAAACAATTGACCAATCATCTTTTAAAAAAAAAGGATAGATTGGTTAACGGAAGGTTTATTTCTTGCGGTACATGTGTAGATATAATTACTTAACGTGGAAAGCAAATTCATAAAATTTTGGATTTCTGAATATGGTTGTTTAAATTCAAGAAGGATTTAGAATACCTCATCAAACGCCCAGGTAATTCAGTGGCAGGGATCTTGCCGGAACAGCTAGTAGTACCACGTGTTTAAGGTTTCATCTGTAGTCTTTTGATTTTTCAATTAGAACGAGACTTTTTAGATTTTTTTTTAATTGCTTACCTTGCGCACACGTTCAGCAAGCGAGTCGTTTTTGTTTATAGTAATTTGTGCCTGCACCGTGGTCGACGGGGGAGGAGATGGTGACGGTCGTCGCACTGTCACCGTATCTGTATTAAAACAATTTTATTGTTCATTGTTAGATGCACTATTGTTTCTTTTAAACCTATAGCATTCTGCCTTCTTTGTAATGGAATGCTGTTTATATTGACTACAGTTTTATTAATTGATCTCCTTAATGACTGTCATGTTTCGCTACAAATATGACGACGCGGCCTGGAGTAGCTTGTTGTAGTTGCTACATTTTTCAATCTGTGGTAAAGATGGTGAGTATGTTATTTCTGTATTTTTATGCCATCTGTTTTGCGATTAACTGCTTCTATTAGAGGTTATCTGCTTAATATCACCTAGGAATAGATTTGTGTACACAGTGTAGGATATATAAATATGCCTGCCCTGGATAAGTTGTAAAATATAATCAGATGTAGTTACATGCGTGTGTATTATGTGTGTCAACGAATGCGTAGTCTTTGGGTTATGTTAATATCTCTTACCAGTGGTAGTATTCTGTCCCGTATCCAAAGACGGTAACGGTCCGGTGAGCCGCCGCTTGGGCAGTTTCAAACTGATGGTGACTGCGTTCGTGCTCTCGGTCTCGTTGGCCCCCAGGTCTGGCGTCGATGTCCACGATGAAGTTTTGTTCAAACCTACATAGATAGATGGATATATAAAAATTTGTTTATACTAGAGATGGTTTGAAGGTCAAAACTCGACCATAATTCATTGAATTCGGACTGTTTTTTTAATTTAATTTTGCAGATAATCATTAAAGTTTCCAACGTTTCCAAAGTTTTGAAATTGTTTAGAGAAAACAGGTAATGGTAGTCGATTTTTATGGTATAGGGAGCACACGAGCAGATGTGTCACCTAATAGTAGGTCACTATTTCTTAAGTAAAACTCAGTACTTGTGTACAGACTAGTTGTCTGTTGTTGTCGTGATGTGTTCCAAATGTATTTTTATTTTGTGACTATCTTTCAATTCAATTTTTATAACATTGGAGAAGCCAGATACAGAAATATGCGCTTGGCATATGGGATTAAAGCATCACAAATAGCAAAATCAATAAAGTACTGACAAATATAACTCTTACAAAATTATCTGGAAAATCGCTGGTATTTACCATTACAAATGTGTACATCTTCACATAGTATAAAATAAAATCGCCTTTTGTTTTTATACGCTTCAATCAACAGTCTTTAATAGTCCATTGCTGGACATAGGCCTCTCCTTAGAAAGGAGGTTTTGGCCTACTATGCCACCTGGCCAGTCGGGTTGACATAGGGTTTGTTTCAAGTTTTTCTTCTCTTTTCAGGGCTGTTATCCTGTATAGTTTGCTCCCTTAATCGGCTCTTACTACACCCACGGGATGAATAGGGGTGGTGACACCGTAGGTATTTTTAATCTGTCACCACAAGGACAATGCTTGTACGCTTAGATCTTTAGAACTACGTAACTTATTTTGTTTATTTGTGTGAATGCGAATGTTCACCAATAGAGAGATTAGTTCGAGAAGAAAGTTTATATGTATAATACATGCATATTATAGTAGAGAAAATCTGAGGATTTTAAAAATTTATGATATAATAAAGTCATAAAAAAAACGTGTTTGTGCGCTTATAGCGGCCTTCGGGCTGTTCGTCCGTCACAAGTAGCAGCGGCCAGCAAGAAGGCTCAAAGTCACCCAAAGAGCAATGGAGAGGGCAATCCTCGGAGTTTCTCTGCATGATCGAATCAGGAATGAAAAACCAAGGTCACCGACATTGCCCGGAGAATCACCAAACTTAAGTTGAAAACACAGCGTGGGTAGACCCCCACACGATGGTCTGACAACTTGGTAAAGGTCGCGGGAAGCCGTTGCATGCTGGCAACACAGGACCGGTTGTTGCGCCGAAACTTAAAAGAGGCCTATATAGCAGTGGACGTCTTTCGGCTGAGATGATGATGATGATTAAAAAGTTTCATTACCTAATCATAAAAATAATGAAACTATCCTATGAATATATATAAAATATAGGAATTGATATATTTCAACTTGATAGGTCCAGCAGATTTCGCAGAGTCCATTGATTATCACTGACGAATATACGGTGATCCTATGATCCTATAAGAAAGTATTTTTTTATGTGGACGTATGGGACTAAAGAGTTCACACAACGCTTTCAAACAAGGCTTGTAACCACACAGCAGTGAATCAAATTCGCATTGAAATTACATTCCTGTGAGACCTACACAAATATTATAAGTTTTTTTTTCCAAAACTAGCTGATTTGAATATTTGAATAAAAGAATGCATTAGACTTATTAACATAATAGAAAGAGATAGATAGACTCTTTTTACTCTTTTACATTTGTCGAAAATATGTGTTCTTACATATTATCGACAAATGTATGAGGAATATGAGGATAGAAAGTAGTGAAACTTACATTACATTACAAAATAAGTAGGTACAATTTTCTGGTCAGTGGACGGCAGACGCTATGCAAAAAGAAATCGCTTCATTATGATCAGTGACTACATGTGATGTCATCGTCCGAAGAATAAGTTTTACTGGGATAGAATACTTAATACCTATATTGTATGATAATTTACTGTAAGTATTAAATTTGCGTCTGGCCAGGGTGGCATAATAGGCCTTTCCAAGGAAAGGCTTGTGTCCACCAGTGGACTGTAAAAGGCTGTTGAGGTGATGATGATGTGATTAAATTTGCACTTTACCCAAGAATAAATTTTAATATTTCTGTATTTAGAAGTAATCAATCTCAATAATCTGTCACAAATGACTTATCTGCGCGCCAACTATAGACCAGCAGCTTTGACAGCTAATTGGTTAATCAGCTGTCAAAGTTGTACGACACGTTTTCTGATTGGTGTTTCCTATCACGTGGATGCATACAAAATCCTATTTTTCCTAAGACGTCCAGCGCACAAAACGCGAGGGTCCGAATTAGGACCAATGCGAGCGAGTGCACTTACTAATTATTTCGAGAAAATTCATAAAATGCCTTCCTGTGTTTTCCGAAAGTGAACAAATTACGACAAAAAGGAAAATAAAGATAAAGGAATTGCATACCACAGGTGAGTGTAAGTTTGGTAGAACCAAACTTACACTCACCTGTGCAACTGCATTAATAGATGTATGTATGTACGTTCACGGAATAAATATTTTGTGCGTGCAGTAGTGAATATAACGTATCTTATTTAAAATGTTTTTGATAATACATTGATAATACCAATAAATTTTACGGAACCCTCAGTGGCCGAGTCTGACTCGCATTAGCCGGATTTTTTGCATTTTAAGGAGGCCAAATAACTATTAATTATCAAAGTAGTAGTTAAGATGTAGGTAATTATAAAGATTGCCACTTACCTATGGAGAAAGCGTCTTTTTTGTTAGGCTCAACTGTACTAAGATTCGTGCTAGATGCCCAACTTCGCCCTACCTTGAGCACATCTGCACCATTATCATCATCACGACTTCTGTAAACAAAAAGAGATAGTTAAATCAACACTACAATCCTTGGAGTAGCTCAGGTCAATAAAAACTAAAATTGAAGTTAACTTTATGATAGTTATGATATACAAGATAAAAGGTTTTGGGAACTCATTCGTAACTACTCTGTTTGCAGAGTTGCTTTATACTTTAAAAAAACATTAATTGTGTTTTTAGGTTAGTGCTTATCCTATTAAGTACTATTTTTTGTTTTCGTCTTGCCTCTTCGATACGCCACAAGAGCCTACTCTTGAGACCGAAATTGCAAGGTGATCAAATCAATAACTGTAACAGTCGATTAATTAAACTCTGTGCAGCGGTAATGCCGCAATGGAATTCGCATTAAGAAACTTCCATTTCAAAGAAGAGTTAAACGAAGGGAAAAAAAGTTTTTTTTAAATACGCACATAATATATATTAGTAATTAATCAGAACATTTAGTATAGAACTTGACAGTAGCGTCAGCCTTTATCGTAGCGTATACTAATTATCTGTGTGGTGACGGATTACGAATACGGAGTGTCTCTACCCCTATTCATCCCGTGGGTGTCGTAATAGCCGACTAAGGGAGCAAACTACGCAGGACAACAGCACTGCAAAGAGAAGGAAAACTTGACACAAACCCTATACCAACCCGTCTGGCCAGCGTGGTATAGTAGGCCAAAACCTCCTTTTAAGGCTCCCCTTAGTACCCTTAGGAAGGCCTTAGGCCTTAGTTCACTGCTGGACGGCCTCTGCCTATTTCCAGCAGTGGACTACTAAAGGCTATTGATGATACTAATTATAGTGTTTTCAGAGGTAATAGCGGGTGTTATTAAATATTTAACGAAAACGCTCTTTATTTTTAGTGACTATGTTAGAATAGATCGACAAATTCATAGGTACTGTACGTCATACGGTAGTGTTTTAAAACATGTAGACGCTTAGTCATATATTATGCATCTTGGATAGCTCAAACATCAACAAAATATAAGAGTGCTGGCAGCTTTTTTAGATGGCATTATTTTTAAAATATAAATCGAAAATTTAACAACACACTAACAACAATAAAGTGATGTGATATTGTTTATTTTATTTAAAAATTGACCAGTTTTATGATTTACTAAAGTAAAATAGAATACGTAGTCTTTTTTCTTTATTTACTAAAAGGCAGGATCACACAATGATCATGTTACACATGTGTCTCGATATAAACTACTAATTACATGAATAAACTTCTTCTATTCTTAAAGCATAAAATTATCAATTTTGTATAAAAAATTCCCTTCATCTGGTAATGTAAAGATAAAATGTTGTAAAACTTTAACTATTCCATGGTTAAAGTGTAAAGTCATAGCAAGCTGCGTTGGAAAATAGATATACTCTCGTCTAAAAACCTCGCTGATATTTCTTTCTTGTCAAAAACTCTTAACCTAAGCATTCTGGTCCATATCTAACTACTATAATGTTAACAACTTGATCTTTTCTAAGTTTAGGTTACCATCGTAACTAACGACTTGTTTTCGGCAGACATTTTAGGGAGAAAATTTGCTTCATGTATCGTGTCAGCCAACTAATGTTGTGTTTGTGACTCTATTAATTGAAATACTAATAAAACACAAAGAATATTAAAAATAATGTACTGATATAATAATTATCACATTTCCAACCAATTTCAAAGACACCAACTACACAAGACAAATATCAGTCCACATGTGTGCGCAAAATACAGATGTCCTCTCTATTCCGTATCTCTCATAGTCTCATGAGATGGGAATATGACAAAGCGGGTATTAATACTAATATTTCAAAGCTGACAAGAATTTGTTTATTTGTTTGGTTGCAACTAATCTAAGGAACTACTGCTTCAAGTAGAAAAAAAAGACATGAAATAAATATGCAAATGTATTATATAAACCAAACCAAAAAAAGAAGATCATTAAGCTATTTATAGGTCATCTACACTATTTACCCATTATCTTTTACCCATTTACATATATTTTGCACTCATACACACGTATGCACACACAAAAAATATTATCAGTCTTATTCTGCAAGTCTTAAGTTGGTAGGTAAGTATTATTAGGTAAAAGTTTATGGTAAATAAATAATATAATTAATTGTGTAATGTAGGGATAAAATGTGTGCACCGTGGATATTTAATGTAAGTATTGAGTTAATGTGCTTATAGTTAAGAGTGACAAGTTGGCTCCATGGTGGCAAATTTGCCTATTGAGTCAGGGGTCCCGGGTTCGATTGCTGCTCAGAACAAAAATTCACGTGATAAGCACAGATATACATGTGTGGCGTTGCACATCACTACGCGTATTGCATATCACTACGCCTGTATTGCCTGTCACATCACTCTCCGACGCGATGACGTAGTTCCGCTACCGCGGGACGCTCTCTTGGACAGATGGTCAAAATAGTTTGGAACACAAAGACGTGTCTCGTCCGATACCGTAGATAGTAAGTGAACTGTATTGATGTCTGTAAATTCGCCATCGTGAATAATTAATATTATAAGGAATAGACACAAAAATCAAGTGTTTTCTTTTGGACTTCAACAAACCAAACATGTGATGATAATGGTTAATGGCAGTGTAACAATCGAAATTTAGTTAATTTGAAATTCATAGCTAGCCCAACTGTCCTTTTCTCTCTGGCATGCTCGCGTGTTGAACGGTATGTGTTCTTGGACAGTTCATGTGTCTAATGTAATGAATTACAGTCGCTAATTTTGAAATGAAGTGCTGCGTGTAAGTCTTTTTTGTCGTACTCATTTGTAAACTTTATACACGTCTATTTAAAACCGTTAAATTTGTCTGGCGATTTGCAGGTATTATTGAAACTATTCAATAAATACGTGATAAAAATTTTAGATTGCCAAAAGTATATTTTTTGGGCATTTTAATAAAATGTTTTTGGAGAGGTCTGGTAATACTTTATAGCCGATAGAAACGTCCGGGATTATTTTTTTAATTATATGAAAACTAAATTAACAGATAAAAATATCAACTTTGATGAAGATGAGGTAGGTATTGTAGATAGATGTGATTCAACATCACATCTATCTCCAATAAGATCCTCATCTTTAATTTTGATATTATTGTTTTTCTTTAAAACACTTTCATTTTGTTTAAAATAATTCGAATGTTTTTTAGCAAGTTCATTAGCTATCTATTTTAAAAAGCATCGTCTTATAAAAACTTTGAATTAGGAAATAAGGCTTTCAAAGAATATAAATTAACTGTTTCTTTAGAAAACGTCCGTTTAAATTATAAACCACATTTTCTATAATAATAAATCGATTGTCTATAACTGTCTGTGGACTGTTATAGGCTGTTGGTGGCGGTGGTGGTGTCTATAACAATTTGCTGGATCATTAGAAGGATAATTTTCATCAGTTTTATGTTGTGAAGTTTTACGAGGTACTTTAATATCGACTTCAAGCTCCTTTGCGGGGGCGTATATTTCCTAACAAGGACAATCAAATTCATTATTTGATTGAGCTCTCTTTTTGTCTAATAGTTTTATGGTATTTTTGTGCAGATCTTGAGCAGACTTCAGATCGATTCGCGTCTTTTGGAAAAAATGACTCAACGGCGAGGTTTTAGCATATATTGGATGCAATTTTTCGTTGCCCCTTCGGCAATAAGTCCCCCGCCCCCTCCTCCTCGGGGGTCCGCCATTGATCTTAGGGAAAGAACACTAAGAATACATCCTTTTAAAATACTGAAGTCAAACAAAATTTCTTTAGTTGTAAAGGTCAATTCTCAATAAAAAATCCTTTCAAAATTCAGTTCCGATCTACTCTCGATATCACAAATGTCATAAAAGGTAAAGTCGTAGTATAGTATTACTATGACTGCTTTGTCAGTATGGTTGTGATACAAGAATGGTACTAAACCTAAAGTGGTGATCCACATGATCTTGTCCCTATAAGAAGTACATTCGTAACGTTATTAGTCTTCGATGTGAGATTTCTGTACCTAAACGCATTTCCTAAATAAGTTGCGTTAGTAACTCCCAACAGAAAATGGCCACTGACAATGGTACAAGCTTGAGATGTAAGATTTTTAATATTCCTAAAGAGCCATAATGCCTAAATTTTTCAGCTAGATTTTAATCCTGTGGTGGCTCATAAGAGGCTGCTAATCTACTGCGCTTCTTGATACTGACTAATCCATAGTTCTCTACAACAGTCAGTAAGTATGAGTTACAGTGTGCAAAGGAAGGAGATATTGCTTATACTGGTGGTAGGTCAGGGTTGCATACTGTAACTCGTACTGACTGTCGTAGAGAAAACTGAGGCCCTTTTTTTCAGTTTTTATACAAGTAAGACAGCTAACTAATACAGACAGCTAACTATTTTATATTAGATGTTGACCTACTTAGCCATTACACAGTACTTAATACAAGAAAGTAAGAAGAAGATTTACAGTGCAGTAATACAAGTAGATTTCTTGGAAATTAGGAGTTTAAATTGATATGATACTAGTTTTATAAATCATCGTAGTATGTGCCAATTCAGAGAAACAGTCGTGTTACTATTTACATAAATAAACCGGAATGGACTGTTTGTGCATTTCACGCTATACCTTACACATATGATTCCTTTATATACGTAATAGCGAGTAGATATAAATAGGTATATTATAGAAGAGCACGTACGGATGAAGGCGGCCTGCGTCAAACTTCATCGCTGCGAGCGCAGTACAAACAATCCACAAAAACGTCCAGGAATTTGGATTCATGCCATCGTTTTTTTAGTTATAGACTAGAATGGCAGGTAGTAAATGAGAATATTTGAAACTCTTACAGGTCATGGACACTTATGTAAACTTCTTATGAAAACGGAATATTTTATTTGGCCCTTGTAAAATTAAAAACTTTATATTATCATCATAATACCCTTCGATATCATTTTATACCCTAGGTGATGTGCTCCGACCAAAAAATTGCACCACGCAAGCTGTGTTAAAATCAACAATGAAATCGATAAGTT